TAGATGATTCTAATTAATAATGTCTAAAAGTACATATACATTTTACTGAACTCAGATTAAAACTTTTGATAATCTTATTCGGTGGAAACAATGTCGACGTAACAAACTGAACTTCGGAAAACTATTAACGAGGTTCTTCGTGTCTCAAGATGGTTTGAGAAATGCAAAGTTTTCAAGAAAGGACGAGGAAATGCAATTCGTATTTTACTTATTAAACAATCTAGCGCTAGATACTTTTGAAATGACGTTGAATACAATTCTCTACGCCTTCACAATACTTTTATTTCATCTACAAAACCATTTTTCTATAATTATTCCTCAAATGGAAAATCCAATTAAAAACCTCAAACTAGTAATAAAATTGCGAAAATAAGGTTAATTTAAACCTGTCCTAGTTCATATCGCCTTTAAAATCGAATTAATACGAATATATTATACTAATAATATGTCGACTAATTATAAAATCAAATAAATTCTGTAAAAATTAAATTGATTTTAAATACATTGGGTCGTTGTCGCCGCGATCAAAGTTGAACATAAATCCATGCCACGATTTCATTTCTAAATCCAGTATTCTAAAATTATTGTGCAGATGACGCATTGGTGCTCGCCATCATCTTACAAATAACGTTTTCTAAACAATAATCTTAAGTATTGCTCATTGATTTTTCAACTGTGTTATTGAATAATGAAGATCCATTTCATTACTTAGAAAGTTACTGTAAAACCATTTACGTGATTATTTTCTGATTCTCTGGTAGTGTTGTAAAGACATGTCCAATGATTTTTAAGTAAGGGATATACAAATATAATTTAGACTGTTTGTAGACATATAGATTAAGAATAGCTTCAATTTCTACATAGGTAACAAGTTTGTGGTCGTCAACATAAATGAATGCATTCGTTGTAATGTGTAGGGCCTCGTTAATCTTGTTTCTCAATACCTTATATTTTATGGCGTCTTCTTACATTCTTAACGAAGCACGATTCGAGGAACGGCCATGATTTATTTTGTCGTCTCACGTAATAGGAGAAAAAAAATAGACGTGGCGTTTTGTAAATGCCTTTCCGTCCATAACATGGACCCGAACATTGATAATTGTTAATTTTAGTAAGGATATATGAATCTCAAAGTTTTTATCGACTTTAAAATTTACAAACTGTAAAGCCAGTTATCAATACCATGGGTTTCTGAAACCAAAGTTCCCGTTTAAAAAGTACTGTTATCTCTGTTTTGTTGAAATGACAAGGATGACGATATGTTTTATACAGAGATGTTGTTCTTAGAAACCAACCATTACTTTCATTGTACAGAAATAAATATCACATTGCACTAAGGGTCAGGAAATATTGATGTTATTACAAACACGTGCTATACAATGTAGCAAAATCTAAACAATGTTACAGAGCCATTAAAACAGTTCCTCATTTCTAGTATTAAAACATGGTTTATTTCTCTACAAACAATGGAACAGATTGCAAGCATGGCAGAAGTACAAAATTAATGAACTAACAATTTTATTAAACTTCGTTCGGAGTATTACGAACGCTATGTTGTATTTAAACAAAATCGACAAAAAATTTAAGGGATTTTAGTTAAAAGGTTAGGTTAGATTAGTAATCCAGATTCAAGTTCTAATTACGACATGAAATTATTGATCAAAATGATCTAGTTTTTTTTTTGTATCTGTTTCTATGCTTTTTAGTTAAAATAAAATCAGTTATATCGTGACTGATTTCATATTGACTCAATATTAAAAAAAAAACGGTTTCAATGTTACAAGGATTCGAGTAGAATTTTTTACAATAACATGCGTTTTTTGTGGTGTAAAATCTTTTGTAATGAAACTTGGTTATTACCATAAAGGCCGAGTGACAAAATCATGATTGACAAGTGACAAAAGTATGGCTTAAGTAACAGAAGAAAAGGGAACAGGTAGAGAAAGGCAACTATTGGAAATTCTGAATAGGTAGCCTACCTGCATTTTGCAATTCTTTAAGTTTCACTTCTTATGTTATGTCTTTGTGAGTACACTTGTAGTAGTAATAACATTGAACATGAAATTTCGATAGTAAACATTTAGGCTAAGAACTTATTAGGTAGGCACTTACCAAACAGAGGCAGCTAATCCAAAATAGTACAGGAGAAGAAATACGACAGCGCAGTTTGGATTTGCCAATCCATCGTGAGCCAGCAGCATCCGGGTGGGAGACATGGAGTCCTTAGCGCAGCCCGCGGCGGAGCGGCCAGCCGCCGCGCGCACGCCCCAGCCCGCCGCCGCCGCGCACCGGCACAGTGCCACCAGCACCAGAGCGCGCTCGCCCGCGCCGCCTGCTCCGCCCGCCGCGCCGCACGCCAGCTGCGCGCCCACCGCCGCCAGCGTGCACGCGAAGCTGAGCGCGGCCCACGTCGCCAGCCACACCTCGGCGGCGCGCCGCTCGCCCGCTTCCCACAGCACTTCCGCGTCGCAGAACTGCGCGCACCGCCCCGAGCCGCGCACCCACACCCAACTGCTCGGCTTTACCAACCGCCGGCACGCGCCGCGCCCGCTGGTCGCCGCTGTGTCCAGCGGAATAGGGCCCGCTGGCGGCACCCGTTCCCCCGGGCCCTCCATGCACATATGTTCGTGGTTGTTTTCGGCCGGGAATAACGAACAATCAAGCTCCGAAGGCCAGGGAAATCCGAACCCTCTTAGAACGGGATAACATCTCGCATAGACGCTTTCACACAGTCCCCTACATGGTCCGATCGGCAGCGCGACCTTATCCGTACACATCGGAACGTAAACAGAACAGAGGAACAGATGCAGCTGCGATGAGCAGCCGTACTGCACCAAGGGACTGTAGGTCTGGAGCGTGACGTCGGCTTCCACTTGCAACGTGTGCCGAGCCAAGTTGGGCATCCCGGTCTGGTTGTACCCGATGTTCTTGCACATCGCCACTTTGATGGGCTCACATGTCCTCACGGAAGCTTCCGAACTGGCTCCGATAATAAGCGTCACCAATAAAAGAACTAGGTTAATGCACTTCATTTTTATGTTTACTATAAAAGTTTCATCGTAATCGTAATAACTTACGCGCGAGCGCGACTAAAACGGCGCGAGCGTCTACACGTAACGATAAGCGCGAGACGACTGGTGGTGTTTGAGTTAGGTACGGTGCGGGGAGACCCCTCTGATCCTAACAAAAGGGCCCGCGGATCGCAGGTAGGTGTGCGGTGCTTGTGTCCGCATCGGAGGGAAAGGGAGGGAATTTGGTCGTGTCGTGGTGTCCGGCTGCGGTCGCTGTCCGGCGAGACCGAGATCCTCGTTAAGTGGACGATTGTCTTCGCAGCCTCCGGATATATTCAATACTTGTTATCGCATAAAGAACGTATCACACAGCGGCGAAATCAAATATTAAGGATAAGAAATGTTTTTATTAGATTACCCTCAGTGATGTCAATACGTACAAGTCACCTTTGACGTAGTTTTTGCCTTCCATTAAAATATAAATATGACAATGGAAATTAAATTCGTCAGTAATCGACAATATTTAACTCGGTCTGAAATATGATATTATCTGCTATCTCTGATTATTGTTATATCACTCGATTTATCAAAATATCGATTTTTAGATATCAACTATTGCAGATAACAAATAGGTTAACGTAGGCCAGATAATATCAACGCAACGTTATATTTATTGAATTATTTGTAATAATGTGCATAACTAAAAATAATTGTTAAATCCGTTCACTATTTTATAATCAAATTTAAACCTTTTCAAAACATAATCAGGCGTGGGTTAATTTTTACAATCCAAAAAGCAATTTGACTTTTGAAATAAATTTATTGTACATAGTTGCTACAATAATATGCATTACTGTATATCTTTTATGAAACATAAATAGGTAAATATAATGGTGAATGTTAGTATTACAAAAATTGGACCGAAATGATCAGTGAGTCAAGCATTGACAGATCAAGTGTAGAGACGGCCCAGGCGAGCCGGCGCCCGAGACAAGCTAGCTCGTAATCACAACAAAATACACATTAAAATAACAACTAAAATAAAAGATAAATACTTTTACAATAATCTTATATAATACATGTTTTCACATTTCCTCTTCTCTTTTCCTTAATCTGTAATTCATTATTTGAAAACAATCTCTTTATTCTAACCTCCAACTCAAGATGTACTTCAAGTCTTTGTCTTTTGCTTTCAGCTTTTACATGTTTTTTATACAACAATATTTCTAATATATAATATACAACATTCACAATGACACTTCTGTCCGTTGGTACACCTAAATATATATTATTTACGACATATAGCATATAACAAATTAAATAAGGAATGCAATGCAAGCATTTCAAGCGCCATACTTCTTTTAAACTTGGTTACGATTGAACTTGAACAAAATAATTGCATATTATTATAATATATTGCACGGATGTATAAAAATACGTAAATGATCCTAATATTTCAGATTTGAACCGAGACAGAAATTAAATTAGTAATATTTTTTACTATAAAATCGATTTTTTTATTACAGTACCCGCCATAAATTTTTTGCATGTTAGTTCCTAAATTATATCCATTTCATTTGGTGAAAGCGAGATAAACTTATACACGAGAACTTGAGGTACGAAAGAGAAAAAACACATCTGGGGTCTGTTTGTCACTTCTTGTCACTAACGTCAGAAAAATGGCGGGTAATATAAATTAAACATGGAAAAGATTCTTTATTGATCTATTCAAAGCCAGTTTATATAAACACCGATTAGCGCTACTTCCATCAAGACAAAAAACTTTTTTTTACTAATTTAAATAACTACAATCGGCTAAAACGAAATGTACTTTACGTCATCGAACATTTAGTCGATTTAAGCACGCTCTGAAAATATTCGGAATATTTTTTTTAATAATTTTGAGGTAGTTTCATATTTAAATAAATATCTTTGTATTTTATATTTCGACTAAATTGTATGACAATTTTTTAAAACATTACAAATTATCGTAGATTTTAAAAAATATTTTACGCCATTTCTAACATATTTTTAATCATAGGACAAGAGACAAAATGAACAAAATGATCGCAAATATTATGTTCGTGGGTTTAGCCTCATTTTTTTATATTAAGATCCGTTTAATAACACCACCGAGCTATATAAAATTCCTCAAGCATAAATCGTTTTTTTTACCTATTATATGTAAAAAAACGCAGAAATGAAACTTTTATTAGTACACAAATTAACTGAGACCAAATTGACTGGTGATAAATAAATCTTTAAACGTAATGAAAGCGAATAATAAATGTAGGCCATTCTTAGTATACACATGCGGAGGCAGAGGCGTAGTTCGTAGGTTAAACGCTTTTTCAAAGTAAAAAATGCATCTTACATAGCTCGGTGTATAAACAGACCAAGATATTATGTCTTTACAAAAGTATTAACAGTTAGTGATGAATACTAAATATAATAAATCGTTCAAAAATGATTTTCATTATATGAGATTACACAATCAACAAAACTATGACAGGCACGAAAATATAGACGAATGGAATTGAAATAGCCACCTGTGGGGAACTGTCAGTGGGCGACTTTACATCGTTTGAAGCAGGTTATTGTTAATCAATAAATATATTGTTACGCTTATTGAATAGCAATATTATATCGTAAAAAATAATATGTTTTGAGAAATATTTTTTTTTGTTATTCAGTTTGCATAAATAATTGGATTATACGATTGTGACTGTTTAATAAATGTTGCTTATCACATTGTTCTGGTAAATATCATACAGTAAGGAATGAAAAATGGTGTGGTTTTAAATGTCGCCCACTGGTATTGTATTACCTTTAGCTTCACTGTATTTGTATGCGTGTGTGTGTGTATGTGTGACTAGAGCGTGTTGGTGTCGGCCTCGAGGCGCAGACGCAGCGCTTCCCGCTCGCGCTGCGCGTCAGCCAGCTCCGCGCAGAGGGCGCGGCAGACGCGGCGCAGCACCGCGTTCTGTTCCTGCAGCGACTTCACATCGGGGTCCGCCTCGCACGAGGACTCGCGAGAGGGCTTGCGGTACACCTCGAAGGCTCCGTGCATCTTAGGCGCATCCTCGCGGATGTAGCCGAAGCCCTCCTCCTCCTCGTAGTCGCGCGGCGGCGGCGCGAACGCGTCCGGCGGGAAGGCGGGCTCGCCCTCACTCCGCTGGTTGTGGAGGCGGCGCGCGGGCGGCGAGGTGGCGGAGGGCGACATTCGCGGCGGCGGCTGCGGGGGCGGCGCGGGTGCGCCCTTGAACCTGTTGAGGTCGAGCGAGCTGGAGCGCGCGTGGTTGCGCAGAGGGCGCGGTGGCGGAGGCGGCGGCGGCTCCTTCTTGGGCGGGTACTGCAGCGACTGGGGTCCGTCGTCCGCGTGCACCGAGGGCTCGCGGGCGGGCGGCGGCGGCAGCACGCCCGCGCTCTTGACGGGTTTCTTCGGCTGAGGTCGCTGGATGGCCTTTATCTCCTGGTTGTTACCGTTCTGCGGCGGGTCCGGCTGCGCGGCGAGGCGCTTGGGGCTGGCCAGCTCGAAGGCGTGCGCGAAGTCGTCCCGGCGCGGCGAGGTGCTGGCGCGCATGTCGCCCTCCCCGTGCGCCGGCAGCGCGCTCGCGTCGGGCGTCACTCTCAGCGCGACGGGATGGAAAATTTTGGGATCCCTCTCCACTGCCGACTTTTGGAAGTCGAAATTGACCGGCTTGGGCCCGGGACTGGAGACGCTCAACGTGGGCGAGTCGTCGACGAACTTGGTCCACTCCTTGTTGTTGACCTGTGGCTCCGGTTTGGGTGGGGTCAGTGACGGGGGCCGGTCCTCGGGCTTCTTTGCGGGTATACTTTCGTAGGGATCGTTAGGTTCCGGTTTGGGTGCGAAGTTGAAATCGGCGGAGGTGCCGGAGCTGAACATGTCCGAGCCGAGGTCGACGAGATCAGTGGTGACAGCTTGCTGGGAGAAGTGCGAGTCCACCCTGGGCACGAGGCAGGCGGGCAGCACGTCCGGTACGGGGATGTTGTTCCGCCTCAGCACGATCAAATGCATCGCTATGCTGAATTCTTCGAGAGTCAGCATGCCGTCTTTGGTGATATCTGATAGCTGCCATATTTTTCTAAGATCGGTCACCGACAGCCGAGATTTTTCAAAGAACATTCTGAAAGGAAAAATTTATTATTTTAGCATCATAAGGAGTTCTGAAGTCATTATTTTTATTAACAAGCTTTATATGATGAAGGAGAGTATGCACCTGGCGGTGTGTCCGGAGAGCAGGCCGCACTCGGGGCGCAGTTGCGTGAACTGGGCGGCGTAGTGTCGCGCCTGTGCCTCGCTCACCGCCCACAGCGCCGCGCCCCCCGCCGCCTCACCCTCGCCCTCCTCCTCAGATGAATGTCGGTCTGATGACTCTTCTTCCGTACCTGGAATAAAGTTAAACATTCGTAAATGTCAAATACAATGGCCCTGTCAATCTATAGATATTTATTATCTGTGCTGTGAAAGGAAGTATAAATAATATTGTATGTGGATATAATTGGCATTTTGGCCCCAAAACCTTTGACAGTATGCTTTGATCTTTACGTCAGTTGAAAGCAAACAATTGTTTTTGTTTGTAAAGTGTAATTACAGATGTTTATACCAGGGCAGTATAATTGTAAATAATACTATCAATCTAACTCCATTATCATTCGTAATCGTTTTTCTGAAATGAAATTCGCATTGTGTTGGCTTTGGTCCTAGTTAGCAGTTTAATTAACACCCGTCAAAAACGTTATTAGCAAGAAAATTAATTGTAGTCAGAAGTTTCAAAGTGACTCACAATACCTTGTTAAGCCAGTTTTCAACTGAGGCAGACGAGTTTTATTGTTTGCTCTTTTTATTTTCTCGATGCACTTTTTGTGAGTGAAAGAAAAATACCACCTTATTAGGAGTGTTGATTTAAATTTACTTCACTAGCCGATAATTTCTGAGACCCATATCTCTGTATAAAATATATCGTCATCCCTGTCATCAACATTGAAAAAAACAGAGATAACAATATAGTTTAAATGGGGACTCGGAAACCCATGGTAAATCAATTAATATTAACTTATTTACAGTATATTTCAATAATCTTTATCTGTCAAAAATCACTATAATATTTGAGGTTATAGCAAAAACCATTTACATAACGATTTTGAACACTAAGATGTAATATGTATTACTGACTTATTTATCCTAATTTGAAAGCTATGACGTCACAATAAAGCATGAAATCATGCACGTCCTTATTTGAAATGCAATCATACAAGACATTGCATTATTTCCAACATATTTGTTATTTTTAGAGGCACACTACTATGGTTACAAAATGACACTAACCTAATAGCCGCGTATGTTCCTCAGCGGTGTTTGTGGGCCAAACGCCACGTCCGGTGGCACTGTGCTCCCACACTGGGTGCACTCGCTCCGCTACACTGTTAGTTGGTGTAGGGCTCTCACTGGCTGTGCTCCATGGTGACCCAGTCTTAACTCTCCTCTGTAATGGATATGATCACTATTGTAGTTCATGGATTAATACTTCATTCACAAATGATGTAAGAAATAAAACCTCATACTCAGAATGGGCCTTAAAGATTACACAAATGTACTGTATTTGTGTAATCTTCTCATACAGAACCAACACTAAGGAAATAACGTCTGAACGGATCTGGATGCCTATTACCTTTTTATAATACACTATTTTGAATTCAAGGTCCGTAAACAATTATAAAAAGGGGCAGACAAACAAATATATAATATAAATAATTCAAGGTAAATATTTTTGCTTCAAGTTTATTCATTGAGTTATACACAAAAAAATATACAACAAAAATAGGAAGTTTTTAGAAATAAAAATCATAATTTCATAGATTTGTTGAACCATTATGTAGAAACCTTGTAACAAACATGCATCCATACATCCAAAAACTCGCATTTATAATGTTAATAACATTTCAACCAATGGGCAACCACTAGTAATAATAAATAGGTAATTTAAAATAGTGTGGTATAATAACTAACAATTTCTCTGTTATATTACCCACAAACAACGTATTTCAATCAGAACCTGAATGTTGTGATGACCTAATAGGTTGTCTGGATGATAAGAGTAATAAAAAATGTGATACACTTGCAGTCTTTCATTTGTCATGTATTATTTACTTTTAACAGGAACATTATATTTAATTAATTTTCACATTCGTTTTGTTTAAATTCTACTTGAAAATGGAATTATGAAATTAAACCGTTGATGTAAATGTGTAAATCATCTATAAACTGTTTCAAAAGTCCAGCTCACATAAACTTGAGCTGTCGAGTTGCAGCTTAAGAACTAAATTTCAAGGTCACAATTCACTGTGTTGTATTACAACTGTGTAAGTTGATGAGCCGCAAGCAACCTGGTAACTAACAAATCACAGCTCGAAACACAAATCATAATTCCAAATTAAGCTGAACTGTGAATTGGTTCATCTACAGGTCAATTAATGTAAACAAGTGTGAAATAAATTTTCTAATAATCAAAATTGGACAATTATAGGTCTTTTAATATCAATGTCTATTTTATTTATTTAATTAAGATTAAATCACCCTTAACTTAGGGTAGGCTCCGAGCTCCTCCGTGGGGACATATAGTGAGCTGATGATGATGAAATCCACAGAAATAATATAGAATAGAATATATTAAACACCTAATAACCAGCCATTGGAAAACATGTTAATTATTATGTTACTGTTAATTTTTTCTGCTAAACCACTATTCGGTTTTTTTAATTGCTAGCAGGAGTGAAAATCAGTATTTACAACCTGCCCTATGAGAAGTCAGCACATTATATACTACTCCTACATACATCTCTCTCATCCATCATATCTGAATTTACCTTCTTCTGATACATAGATATGTAGAGAGGATTCTTTCACATAATCCATCCAAACTTGATCTTCATCTACTTTGTTACATTCAATCGCAAGTAGTGTAAATCTCTCTAAACACTTTTATTTGAATACTACAATGTTGTGAGAGTAAAACTAACAAATGTTATCTTTAGCAATGCTAATATGTAGTAAAAAAAATGTTGATTTCATTCTTTTGTTACAATTTACTGCAGAATATCCTTTTACACAGCTATAAGGCTGTTATGTCTAGATAATTATAACTGATAAGAGAGTAATGACATCTATGTTGTGTATGTCACCTGTTTGCAAACTATCAAGGTTATATCATTATGGAAATTAACTTTATAGCATGGTTTAGTGTTACCAAAATCTAACTGTATTTTGTAACTAATAAGATAAATAATAAATATGTATTTCAACAAAAATATAAACAGTTACAACTTTTCTTCTGTATTATAAACAAAAATTATTATTAATATTAACATAAAATTTGTTATTACTTCATGAGTTTAGTATTTAACTTTTACTACCATATAAAGGAGAATTAAATTATAATTTAAATAACTTACTCCACATGATCCAGATCTTTGTGACATAGTTTCCGATTCTATTTCTGAGTCTGTACTCAATCCTTCTGCAGTATCATGAGACAATGCTTGTGGTAGATCACTGTCAGACAAATTAGATGACAATCTAATGGGTTCATATGCACCAAGGTTTCCAAAATTTCTCTCTCTTTTAGGTAAATATTGTTCTTTGGGCGAATTTGACAACTGTATTAGATCTGAATTGGCTTCAGAATTAAGTGCCCAAGTAAATCTCGGCAGAGGAAGATCCAGTGGTGTTGATAACAGTTCAGGTTTTAATGTCATATTTGTCTGATGTGCGGCTATTAATTTGAGTGCAGAATAAAATTGTTTTCTATTCATATGTTTTAGAGATGCATGGTTATTTGGAGCTACGCTGATATCCATGATCTGTAAAACATAATTAGTGACAATAATCATTCACTAACAACACAAACGATTATAAGTGAAAAGCCAAGTTGATTTACCTGCGATAATATATTGTTTGGTACATTGGATGATCTAAACAACTCAGTTGCTTTTAAAATCGGTATTTTCCCATTGGACTCCTCGTCACAACACAAAAACAAGTCACTGAAATATCTCATCTCAGTTTCTGTCAAATTGAGATCCTCCATTATAACAAAAAAACACTGTGGATTTTTTTAAAAACTATTACTCTCTTTAGTAGAATAGCCAAAAATAATAGTAATCATTATCTATTAATGTAAATCATATTCATTGATAAACAGACGGATTTGAAAATTGTACATCACAAAATTTACACGAAGCAAACGAATATGTCATTGACAGCTGCCCGACGTGCTGTAGCCATTGCGATCAAACTAAAATACAGAGTAAAAATTACAACTCGGCGATATTTTTTTTTCGTACTTAATGGGTTCATGATCATGAATGATACTGAAAATATCTTTCTTCGCATAATTCACGTATATAAGCTTAAGTGTAAATATAATTTTTTAATACATAAATTATAATCACGGTTCTTCACACCAAGCACAACCCCAACGATGGCGCCCCACATTAATATTTTTATTTTTCGTACATCACCAGGACATTTACTTATACACTTCAATTAATCGATATCGATCGACTTTTGTAGTGAACGAGTGACCGGCACGACCCCACAGAAAATGGGCGAGAAGTGGAAGTAATTCTACGTCTGGTCAACAGAGACTTGAGACAAAATTTTAGTCCTTTCTCTCCCCATTCGTTTCTTATAAGGAAAAGATGGAAAGGGAAGGTGGATTTCGTATAGGATTAACCCTCTTCCTACCTTCCTCTGTCGATTATAGTCCCTGCGCTATTTTAGCGAATTGAAGTGGCTGCTTCCTCGTATGACACCTTTTACTATATACATATATAAAAAGAATTTGGCATATACGTACCTTTGTGATAGCCTGCAGTTACAAGATCTCCTCTTTCAAGTCCTTTCTGTCATTCCCTAAAATTTTCAGTTTACATTTTTTTATAGAAACGTCCAAAAATACTGTAGTTTTTGTTATCGTTAAAAAAAACGAATAAAGTTGTTAATAAATATAAATTAAAAAACTTTTGAGGTGTCATCAACTTTATTATGTGACCAGTGCTAAACCTGTTACATAACTTCTAATTCTTCAAATAAAATTGATTAATTTTTTACTTCGACACATATATCTCTCTAATACATTTATTTTCGGCCTTAGGTTTAAAGGGAACATGATTAAAATAAAAAAGTAATCACATACACAATACACATTACTACTATCAAAGTAGCGTAATAATTTAGAATACACAGCTACACTTTTAAACTTAAAACGTAAGCATCTGTAATCTCAACAATTACAATCACATCTCAAATTTTGAAGCAGTTGCTTAATCCTTGCTCTGGATGTACTTGATGAGATCAATAACTCGGCTGGAGTAGCCATATTCATTGTCGTACCAGCTGATCAGTTTTACAAAGTTGTCATTTAGAGAGATACCAGCAGCAGCATCAAAGATGGAAGAGTGGGAATCCCCAATGAAGTCAGAAGACACAACTTGATCTTCTGTGTATCCAAGAATACCCTTGAGAGGTCCATTGGCGGCTTCCTTAACTTTCTGCTTGATAGCTTCATAGTTGGCAGGTTTGCCAAGACGTACAGTAAGATCAACAACTGAAACGTTGGCTACTGGCACACGGAAAGCCATGCCAGTGAGTTTGCCATTCAGAGCGGGGATTACTTTGCCGACAGCCTTAGCGGCTCCAGTAGAGGCAGGAATGATGTTTTGTTGGGCACCACGGCCATCACGCCACAGCTTGCCAGAGGGACCGTCTACGGTTTTTTGGGTGGCAGTGGTGGCATGTACGGTTGTCATCAAGCCCTCAATAATTTCAAAGTTGTCGTGGATAACTTTAGCAAGGGGCGCCAAGCAGTTTGTGGTGCAGGAGGCATTAGAGATAACTTTGAATGATGGGTCATATGCATCCAAGTTGACACCAACTACGAACATGGGAGCATCAGCGCTGGGAGCAGAGATGATGACTTTCTTTGCTCCACCTTCTAAATGAGCAGATGCTTTGTCTGTAGTGGTGAAAACTCCAGTAGATTCTACAACATATTCAGCACCAGCCTTGGACCATGGGATGGCTTTAGGGTCCCTCTCGGAGTAGACAGCAATTTTGTTTCCATTAACAATGAGATAACCATCTTTGGCATCTACAGTTCCCTTGAAACGTCCATGGGTGGAGTCATATTTGAAGAGATATACCATGTAGTCTAGACCAATGAAGGGATCATTGATGGCAACAACTTGGGCTCCCTTTTCAACAGATGCACGAAGCACCAAACGTCCAATGCGACCAAATCCGTTGATTCCAATTTTCGACATTGTATCTGTCAAAGAAAAATAAAAACTTAATTAAGTATAAAAAACAAAAGGAAACAAATTTTTTTTCTACCTACCTAGAAATGAGTATCAACCTAAATGGATCTTTATTTACCCTTCACTAGCAATTTTATTTTAGGTTAAGTACCTTTATTATTGTTATATACTATATACAGCTTCAACATTAACAGTTAACATTTTACCTATACAGATGTTACTACTACTATTTTATGTAATAGATTTCAATTATTTTAGCATAAATCATCAATGGAGTTTGTATTGTATTTGTAATAATTTACATTACAAAATATGTTTCAAATTTAATTTTAACTTTAAGATTTATTTATCTTTATTTACCTGAATACTTAGAATCTGGTGGATTACTTAATCAATACCATACCAGAAATATTAAATAAGTAATTCAATTAAAACTATAGTCAGAATTAATTACATTGAAATCTTTTTTAACACTTGTAAAGTAACTGCAGAACATTTAATATATTATACTTACAATTTAAACAACTGATAAATTTTAGGTAATTATTAAATATTGACCAATTCAAAAACAAATATCTGTCAAAAAGATTATAAAAATACTTTTACATCCTAGAAAATAAGAGCAAATATTCAAACCTTTATTACAAAAAAAAAACACGTAGGTTAAGATGGGAGTACTTTGCCGGCGTATGAAGGTCAAATAGAGGTCAAGTGAATCTTGAATGTTAATCGTTTGTAATAACTTTACTTAATTAAATCAATAACCATATGAAAATACGGAGAAAATACTAATGTTAAAAAAAGCGACAAACATAAACCTATAAAATAATTGTTAGCTGCAATAGTCGGCCTCGGTTCCATCCACTTGCAACAAAGTCACGTAACAAGAAGTGCAAAATTTTTTCACACAATAAACAAAAAATGATAAACGCTATTAATTAAAAATAAATAAAATAATAATAAGCTTAATGCCTACCAGAAAGAAGAAGTTCTGGCGTAGAATTAATACACGTACGATCCCCGCAAGATGGAGTACTGAAATGTCGTATGAAGGACAAGTTAGTATGTGAGTCGACCGCTATGAGCTGGAATCTAGATTGCGGATGTCGAGTAACATTAGGTTTTCACTGACGAAAGCTCCAGAAATATTGATAGTGTGATCTCCCTCATTCTCTTGAAAAAACTGAGATAGCAATAGGTTCTTGTATGGGGGTTTCATCACCAGTAAAAACCTACTCTAAAACCACTACAGCGAAGCAAATGTCATTGAGTAAAAAAAAACAGACAGGCTGGTATTTTGTAAAAAAGCAATTTTAAATTAAATCAAAGAATCCTTTACACACAAACTTTTGTGCATTACAATTATTATTATTAGAAAAAAATATGCTGCGAATATGAGTGATCATGCTGATAGGGGTTCGACCCAAACAGGCTTATACCGTCCAAATTGATGAAATACTTCTAAAGAGCAGTATTTAGAGCAACCGAAATCGAATGTATATTGGTTTTGAAGAAGATGAGGCACGAGGAGTGCCGAGCCAGTTGGAAATTGTTGATTTCTGCTACTGATCTGGGTTATGGCATGGGTTATATTGTTGAAATTACCTCTGTGGTTCATTACTTCTATGCTGTAATACATAATTATCTTGATTATCCCGCATCTCTTATATTTATTTTCAAAAATGTAAGGCTGTATGCAAAAATTAAATGCAAATTACGCTGCATTGATGGCTTGTCATGCTTTATTGTGTTAAGGTACGTCATATGGCAGAAATCAGCCAGCATTACATAAAAATTATATTTCGTATCAAATTGACACTTTTGGAAATATAAAGTAAAGCCGGACAAACAATACAAAAACTCGATCATGAGGGCACTACAATCTCTATTGATATTGCAACACTAAACACAGACACGTCAATAAAACAACTTCCCCTTCGTTAATTGCCTATGCATTTTTCCCCCACAAATGTTTTTTTAGACACTAAAATTCAAAATGGTAGTTACAAAAATACAGCTGACATGATGAAACCGTGTTCTTTAAATTTTTAATTTATTGATAAGTCAACACTCATGAAACGATTTTTACCTATCCTGTGGCGGCAATTTCAAAAAGTCAACTTTCTGTTTTCTAATCAAAATTAAACATTTTCCTGTGCACATAAATAAAAACTGGTTATAAATGTATAATGGTTATAAAAGTAGGCATAAATGGTTTTGGCAGAATCGGCAGAATTATGTTTAGAACTTGTATATTGAATCCCGATGTTGAGGTAATACATTGTCGTATTTTTCTTCATTTTAAAATGATTCTTACTCTCTTACCATATTACAGGTTGCCGCTGTTAATGATCCAGCAGTTGACGTAGATTACATCTGTTATTTAATAAAATTTGATTCAATACATGGAAAATTTGAAGGTGATGTCGCGCCATGCAAGGGTGATATTCAAATTAATGGTAAGCTCCAATATCATTAAGTATATACCTAAACATAGTGACAATAGACTTAAACGTTTATTGCGTAAGATATTTGTTTTGGTATTAGAGATAACATTTCAATGATTTACATTGCTCAATATACTTTATATATATATAAAAAGTAAAATAAATTTAATAATATTGTCAATGTCTTTATCAATTTTAGTAATGAATCTCAATAATACCACTAGCATAGTAAACATAAATTTCAGGTGATTTAGTTAAAATATTTCGTGCGAAACAACCATGCGATGTGCCATGGAACACCGCCGGTGTGCAGTATGTCATCGAATCTTCTGGAATGTTCACCAATCTGGAAAAAGCTGCGGTAATAAATATTGTGTCTAACAACTTAAACAAGACATTCCTTAAATTTAATAAATTCTATAGATTGAATTACATATAGTTAACAGTATTTTAAATATTTTGAATTCTAAAAGTGTATTGAGAATGTTCTGTAATCAATAAAAAGAAACAAAAGCAGTTTAATAGTATTATCTTTCAAGAGTTAAAAATATTATTTATTTATGTTTCTACAAATAACAAGATAGGCGTTTGATAAACTAGCTGACGACATTTTTTGTTTTTATATCAATATCTGAGAGATATTTTTAATATGGGTTCAAGTAAAGGTTGAGGGTGTGTACGTGACGTCTTTGAAATATAACAAAAAAAAAGGGTCCATGACATTTCATAAATGTATAAGAATCATAATATTTATTATTTTCGGTACCAGCTTATCAAAATTTAATGTTAAGAATCCGGGTTCATATTAAAAAAATGTTCTGGGTGTTCTAAGTTTTAAGCGGTACGAAACTTTTTCTAGCTAAAAGGCTATAAGAAAGTGATTATTTTTTTAAGTTCTACAGGCTCTGTTATTTAATTTAATATTATACTATATAGGATAGGATAGCATTCTTTTTTATAATATAATTAGTCAGATTATAAACTGACAAAGTTCAAAAGATGATATAAAGTTTTGTGTTAGGGACACCTGTCAGTAGAGGGTGTGAAGCGCGTGGTGGTGACCGCACCCAGCAGCGATGTGCCCATGATCATTCTGGGGGTCAACGATGATAAACTCAGAGCTGGTATTATCACAATTATTTACATAAACCTAAGTTATATTTTTCTAGAGATTCCACACACTTGTTTTTAAACTCTAAATGAATATCCTATCGTTATTAATACTAGGAAGACAGCAACATCGCGTGGCCCTGTGGTGTCAGATTTTGGTACATCCATGAGGAAGTAATTTCCTGGAGTTGTGCAAAAGATCTGGGGTCCTGGTGCTTTCCGAAACCTGAGGACTAATAAAGAAAAAAAATATAATAATAGGAAAATTTAAAAAAATCCCCGTAATTTTTTTACAGGACATGCAACATTTTTTTTTTCAACTATTATGTATTTTTTTTAATAATTCATCAGATCAGAGAGTGATATCGTGCGCATCAAGCACCCTGTACTGTTTGGCTCCGATAATGAAGGTTCTAGAAAACAACTATGGCGTTTCCGAGGGATTTGTTACTAGTATACACGCGATGACTCCCTCTCTCAAACCACTGGATGGATTGTGTTTGAGAGGAAAGGTAAAACGCTAGATGAATTGTGCATAGAAAAACGTGCTATGTCTGGAAATCCGACTTGTATATTATTATATTCCGAAAGAGATTTTCTATGTCGCAATACTTGTATAGAATCATTTTATTATCCCTTATTGTCCTTAAAATTAGATTAAATGTACCCATAATCAATGTGTAATCCAAAGAGTTGTGCTATGATCGTCGTCAAATTCATAAGCTCTGTCTACCTCATTATTAAACAGGTGAGTGTGTTGTTCTATGATTCCAGCACTGGCGTGACTTTAGAAGCATCCATCAGAACGTAATCCCAGCTATGACGGGCGCGTGCAAAGCCCTCGGCAAGATACTGCCCGAACTTAAAGACAAAATGGTCGGCCTCGCTTTCCGTGTGCCCATCGTCAATGTATCCGTATTAGATTTGACAATAAGGTAAGTAGAAACATATTTATTTTATTACCTTTCTTTTAGATATTAAGAAAAAATTAATATTCAATTTTTAATGAATAATTTGAGTGTGGCTAAATTTTAGTTTCTTTCTGAAAATTAATAATTTCCTAGTAATTATTTATAATGATGTATATCAAATATTTTTACAAGGTTAAGCAAAAAAACAACATTAGAAAATATCGTTAAAAACGTAGAAAACGCCAGCGAAACGTACTTACAAGAAGTGCTTAATATATCTAAAGAGGAAGCCGTGTCTTCAGATTTTATAAGGGACAGTCACTCTTGTATATTGGACGTAAATTCCAGTTTGCAACTACGACCTGATTTTTTCAAACTTATCTGTTGGTATGAAAATGAATTTTCATATGCATGTCGTGTTATGGATTTGATAATATTTTGTGAGAAACGATTCGAACAGAAACAAACTGTGGAAAGTAAAGTTGTTGAAGGTGTATCAGAAAGTCCTACATTAACGGACACTGCAGCTGTTCATAAGAGATTCAAACCAGTACCTGGTACCTGTCGACAACAAGTTCCTAATATAATAAAGAATTTTTCTAAAAGTGTCTACAGTAGTATACAAGATTTGCAGCCGTTGGTGACAGACGTACCTGTTGCCCATCAAGGAACATTCACAGACAGACAACCAAAGAAAGTAAACGAATTATCACAAGTACCCACCGATGATGATATCGTTAAGAATGTTTTAGTGTCGAAATCTATTCAAAATATTGTACCGACATCTAGTGCTTGTAAAAGCATTGAAGCAAAACCAAGTGTTAATAAAAACATTCATAAATCAACTAAACATGAACGAAACGACTTCAACGCTCAGAATCATTTGGAGAGCGTGAGAAGAGAGTTAAATAAAATGATGAACGTCACTCAAGGATTACTTGAGAAATCTAATAAACTATGCGATCCTTTCAAGTTTAAGATCGAGGATCCGGATCCGATTCCGGAGTCGAAGAAAAACAAAGTGGATAGATCTATAGCGTTCGTTGAGTCGAACGAATCAATGCAATGTACAGGATGTTTGACGAAGAGTCAAGGAACAGTTGTTGTTAACAAACAAGTAGAAAAAGCGTGTTCAGGCAGAGGTGATACGAAAAATGATAATGTCAAATTAATGTCAGTGGAACATTCAGTACTGACTGAAGGTACAAATTATTATTATAACAATTAAAATAGAACTAGCACTTGACCGCGATTCCACCTGATCTTAAGTATAAAATACATTGTACACAAGTTCTACGCAAATTAAAAAATGGTATAGGTATACGGAGAAAAAACTAAAAACGTAATTACATCAGCGGTCGAAATGTTACAAATAAGATACGCTTTTTTCTTTGCTATCATTACGCTGCGGAGGAGGAGACGCATAAGAAGGGGAAATATATTTCTGTACGTCTTTTCTCCGTTAACTAAGCGTAGGTAACACATCTGTAATTTCACTAATCTATGGGCATTCATTATCTATGGGTCGCCTCACTATTTCGACGAATTCATTGGCCGAAATAGCGAAGCGACCACTTTATAATATTAAAATTATTATTATACAGATCCTCCTCAATTACATGGAGACGATATAAGTAAGTTTCATGTAAAAACTTTATACGACACGAATTTCGAAGAGATAGCCGATAGTCGTCATGCAGGTGAATTGGTACAAAAACGAGCTATAACCAAACTTCAAAAGACAAGTACGAGCTTCCTCAGAGAAAATCCTTATGTGTATGCTTTTAACAAGAAACATGAATTTAGAAATGAACAATTAAAAAAACAATTACAAAAAGCTAGTCCCGTCAGTATAAAGATGGAAGGGATTAATCTTGCCAGTAACGAAGCACATTGTTCCGAAAATATATCTAGATATATTATTGTACAAGAAACTGAGAATGCTAAAGATCGTAAATTCTTAGGACAACGACTTGTTGGTAAACAGAATATTCTAGTACAAAAACAAGTTATTTGTGAAAATGTGGAATTACATTCAAACGATAACGCATTTGTTAAAAGAGATGAAAATAAACAAGATATATTTGATAAACTTGATAGTACAAGTGCTACTAATTCTGAAAATTCATTTCACGTTAAAGAGAAACAATCTCAAGTTATATGTATCAACGATTTAACTAATTCCTTGGAAGATTTGTCACGTTTAGAAAAGATATGCAAGATTATAGAAATATCCGATGATCTGTCAGACGAGTTGTTTTCAAAACTGAAACCAACAGAACCGACTAATATGAAAAATAAAAAATGGTCCTTCAAAGATCTTTGCGCTAAAATTAAATTGGACGATTTTTGTGATAAAGTTTTTCGTGAGTAAAATTTTGGTTTTTGATTGTAAAAGTATTGTTTGTAATAAAAAGTTTTTGTTCTATAATTTATTTTATTTTAAGGCACATTCTTAAGGAACATAAATATAAAATATGTGAATTTTCCTTACTTTAAAACAAAAAAAAAACGCACAAAACACTTACCATTTATATTATAAAAATTAAAAAAAAATAAAAAAAGCAGGTACAAGGTAGAAATACTGAGACTGGAAATAAATTCTTAACCATAATTAGTATAAGCGGAATCAATAGTTTTGAGAAGTTTCATATTAAGTTGTATGATAGCCTTTGGGAAGACGGCGTCGTCCATTTCAACAAAGTCTGCGATAACAACATTCACAGGCGCCTGAGATTGTAAATTCTGTGAATCTGTCACAGCTGGAGGAGGTCCCGGGACAAAATCCTCTAATAATTTAGGTAAAACTTCATCTTTTACGGGTATTGCACACTTCTCTCGAAGTGTGGATATCCATCTGAAAGGAAACAAATTTTGATTTAAGAATTTAATATGCAATATTATTTTTAAAAAAAATATTTTTTATTGTATCAACATCACATACTTGTTTTTTTTTAATTTAAAGACATGGTCAACATCTGCCATACAACTAAAAAAAAAACTAGATCGATTGTTTAAAACTTCTAACAAATTAGCAGATGTATGAGTAATTTCACAGTTGCACAACATATATATTAACAATTTTCATTTAATAGGAGCTTTCCATTAAACAATTATAAAGTCAAAAAAGAACACCATACCTAAAAAGTATGAACGCTGGTGTTGGTGTCAACACAGCTTGGTGCACAAAGCCCATGCCGGGATGTCGTCGCACGCTCTCCAGAAAGGTGAGCAAGCCGCTGACACGTTCCTGCTGCGGCCACGGAGACGGCAACATCTGCGGCTGCCAGAACTGATCCGTGCTGTACACTGCCTGGTGACGGTACACTATCACTACCTGGCATTAAATCAAACATTACTGTATCATATTGAATAGTAGATTACACTGTAATTAAATCCAAGATGGCCGCTGCTACAAAATGGCAGATGACAATTTTTTTTTCAAAACCCCTAAAATATGGGTATCTGGCTTGACTAGTAGAATATGGTGCACTATGTTAAATACAAAATGGCTTCCTACACATCATTGGGCTTTGATTTTGATCTCCACAATATGGTTAAGAAATAAAAATGCTAGACTAGTGGAAAACCATACTAAATCTATAATAGAATAATGAATCGCAAAATGTGTTGGTAAGCGCATAACTCAACAACGCCCGGACCAATTTGGCCAAAACTTTTTTAAATGATTAAAATTCCAATCATTGCCGGCAACATATTTTTTTTTCATTTAACGCGGAGTCGCAGGCGACAGCTAGTGTTAAATTAAAATAAACTTCAAACAAAAATTTATAGATTATCAAGAACTTTTTCAATGAATTGATGATATTGATTCAAAGATATATGGAACAAATGGCTTACATTTTTAGTAAAGAAAGATAAAATTACCTGTTGTCTCAACCTTGCCAAAGAATTTAATGTAATGCCTTGCAGATCTATTTGACGAGGCACCAGCTGCGGACCATACAGATGTAATAATAACCCCATCAGTCTCTGATGGTCATTTGCTGTGAAGCCATAAAAATGTTGACAATCTAATATCACCACCTGGAAAAACAATATTTTTCTATTCTTTATTTAGATTCTTAGTGAGTTCTGTTACATGTTTGTTGTAATCTTTTGTATAAATCATAATTTTGTCAGTCATTTGTTTCTTGTTACTTTATAGTCAACTAACTGTCCGTCCTGGCAGAATTAAAAAAAAACATAATTAGTAGCCTATGTGTTCTTCCAGACTATTTTCTATATGCCAAATTTCATCGAAATTCATTCAGTCATTCTAGAGAAACCTTCAAACGAACTTCCATCCGTCTAAACATTCACATTAATAAGTAAGAGATGCACAAAACATCACAATACCATTGGACATTAATTTGAAGTATTACTGCATTACTATAGGTAATTCCACTTGAGAAACACATGTATAAAAATTACTTTGTTTTTCAAAACAAAAGAGTGTGGTGCCAATATTTTTTTTACTAGAATTCTTACATTGGTTAAAACTTTTTTTTTTGGTTATATCTTTAGAATTTTGCTTATAAATTTCCCTCACCTCGCCTGGATGTGTGTCAACAAAACTTTTAACTTGCTTCAAAGCTGTTGTTATTTCATCAGCATACACTCCATGTGTAAAATAGAATTTATCATCACCTGTCTTTGTTGCGATCCTCAAATCGAAATATCTGTAAAATAAATCATTGTGCTATTAGCAAAAAAGTTAAATTAATGTTAATTTCCTCAAAAAACATTATTTTTAAATTATTTCACTATCAATTCCAGTCGCTATTTGAATTCTATAAATACTCAGGAAAGCTGTATCTACTACATAATAATAGATTTGTGCTTCAAGTACAAAAAACAACTTGAATGAACCAACTTGTGTGCTATACCATAAATGTACAGTCGGCAAAAATACAAAATTTAAGCAACATTAGGATTTATAAAGTTTATAATGCAGCTATTGTGAATTGTAGAAACTTACTTATATTAGTGACTTAAGTTCTATTCATATAGTCAAACTAAAACTATGATTAGTGTTGCAGCCTATCAAATAGCAAGGTGTAGGTATGCATTAGTAACTGTAGCAATGTACCTAATGCCAATTAGCAGTTGTTGCGAGGTGTCTACAGCTTGTGTTATTGTCCAACGTAATATCGTACCTCGGAACAATGGGTACAGTTTCTTGACAATTGGCTCTGCATCTGGAGCTATCCCACTTGACTCTGTGATACCATAAGTCATTGAATCATGGCTACCTAGAAATTTAATGATGTTGGTAGGATTTAATTTTTTTATGGTTAATGCATAGTCTAGAATTAAGAAATGAGAGTTTTATATGATTATTGGTAAGCTAACAACTATCATGAAATATGGCAAACAAATGTTAAACTAATTTAGATATTAATAATCATTTCTTCATTTTGCAGTTTTATTTTTCAAGGAAAACCCCAATACATTTATAAATTTGATACACAAATATAATATTACGATTTTAATAATATTTAAGTATAGTTGTGTTAATGAATAAAGACAAGGACATATGATAACATTACCTGGAATAGCCAGATATATAAAAGGAACATTTTTTAACTGCTCAGGTAATTCTCTCATCCAATTTTCAAGATTAACATTTTGTGCTGACCCGTCTTCACACATTATTGAAGCTTTAAAAGATAAAAAATAATTATAGAAATGCAACACATTTATAAGTGCATCTATTTGCTTAGTGAAAAAACGATATAAAAGTATGAACTACCTTTGTACTTGGTAATAAATTGTTTAACCTTTGTTACGTCATGATCTATGTTTAACCATACTTGTCCTTACAAACAACGAGCCCTACCAGTTCTTTTTAGAATGATTTGTGCCCATTACTATTACTATGTTTGATGAATGTTTGTACTCGTAAAAATTATTCTAAATAGATTAATTGATTTTTAAAACAAAGTTCCATGGTGTTTTCTCATTTCTAATAGTTAAAAAATGTTAGAACATTATTATTTCTATAAAAAAGTGTAAACAAAACAAACCAAAACACTTTTTAAAACTTCAAAGTGTCTGTCAACCTGCCAACTGCCAACTGTCAATTTAGTAATCAAAAAGAAAAAAATGTCAGTTTTTTGTACAATGGCAGCACAGTTAATTTGTAATTTTTTTTATATAAAGAGACCGCGTGGTTATTAAAGAAAAATGAAGACTTGAAAAAAGTATAAACACTTTAAGTTAGCTCAAATCACCAGTAGACAAGTAGACAAAGTAACAAAAACTAACAGTAGTGTCGGCTAGATTTTATTTGCAATACGTACAGAAAGATGGGCGTTGAGTGGGAGTGATTCTCCATTTCGTGTGTATGCTGAAGGATAATTTCTAGACGACTTCCCTAAACTTCTTGTATATGTCGATGGGCAGCGATCATTACGCTATTTTAGCTAAAGTAGATTGCCGTGTCATTATTGCCTAACTTACAACTAATTTTGCTTCAATTTTAAAAACTAAATAAGTCATTAGTTAAAAGTTTATTATCAATTAGCGATCAAAATAGAAAAAGGAGATCATACCCAAAGCAGCTAAAAGAAGTCCAAACTTCATGTTAGCGAGATAATTTTATAAAACTACCCACTCAGAAACGTCAACGCACTCGGTGACCGTTATTCGACAAATAGCTATTATGTTTTCAACAAACTGTATAGCAAAATTATATTCCGTATTTGTTTCACTTAAGTACACTGCTTCAAGACGTAAGCTAAAATGAACTTATCATGCAATTCAGTGCGTTTGATCTTCTGTGATGTTAATAAATGCAAAAAGTAACCTCTGCATGTTATTATTGGCTCACTAGACGGCCACCGATTGCTTTGTTACAGTACTCTCAAATGGACGAATGTATTTAGCAGATTAGGTGAAAGGATAAAGCATGGTGTGTTTTTTGTGTCAACGTTCTTAACAGTATTCGTAATAAGATTAACCTTGAATTTTGGACAGTTTATAAGAATTAAATTGGCGTGACACATACTTAATGATATAAAATTAACTTGCCTATTTAACCTTTCGTATTTTAACTGTCAAAATCAGCCCATCTGTGAGTCCTAATACAGGACGCACTCTCACACACAAGAGGTTAATATAGCGGTAATAGCTCAAAGATGGTAAAGGCAACCTGTGATGCGTACTCTTGGGTTTGATTACGACGAAACAGCGCTAAAAGAAGACATATTTATTAGTTTTGTTTTAACATACGCCGTCACTCGAATTGTGTCCCAACAAGAAAACTAGTGTAGTTAATAATATTTATCTACCAGGTGTCCATGAAACAACATTGAAATAATAAAATTTACTCGGATGCTATATGCGTCGTGCACGATACAAAACTATAACTTGCATAAAATATTGTGTTCGTACCTTTTACTTCAGTTCATAATTTAAAAAAGCGATATAAGATTAAAGAATATACAAGAAAATAGATAAAACAAATTTGTACTTGCAAGTTTATGTGCCGGAGACTTTATTATAATCCCCTTTCTCTTCTCGAGTTCAGGGAAGTGGATTTGACGAGGTTAGGAAAGAGAAATATCCTTTTTCTGTACGTTCCCTACTCCGTCGATTAAAGGTCAGCAACGCCTCTGCCTCTCTAGTATGTTTATAGGCAGCAATGTTTGCCATCTTATAATATAAAAAAACAGCAACGAATTCTGTTAAACTTTATTGAAGTTCATTGTTTCATGTTACTTTGGCCTTATTATGCATCAAGTAAACAAAGACAAGGTCTTGCAATTAAAAATATTAATGTACTAAAATGGCACAGATAATTAATTGGCGGCGTCTGAAAATAATTGTTATAAAATAATTGTTATTACTTAAGTTCTTTTAATATTAAAAAATAAATATAATAACTTAATTTTTTTGCTAATTGCGTAATTGCAGAATTGTATGGACGGACATCTATTAACTTTTGACATCCAAAAAATTATGTTATGTTTTTCTTACCTCCAAATGTATTAAGAGTGACAAGTAGTTTTGGCTTTACGCCGATAACGAAAGGTATCAAACCCAATCTCCGTATTTTCCCTAACCATTGATTAATCGCATGTAAATGAAAGAGCACAGCCAAAAATGTATTGTTCTGTTGAAATCAGCTCGAAACGTAATTAAGTTTCCTTGCCAAATAACTTTCGGCGAAAGTAGCTAGGGTTAGTAAGAAGTGCCTTAGCAATAGTAATGGTAGTGCCAAAGTATCCGATGGGTTCGAAGTTTAATTATTCTTGCTACTTTAATAAATTATATACCCAAGAACTCTATGTATTTACTTTATCCCATATTAAAACTGTTAAATCATAAAAAAGGCATGTACAAGTTGTGTTTACGTTATTCACATTTTATCTAGATAACCTGTTTCGTGAGACAAAGGGCTTTGTACTCTTTGCGGAATCTGTGTGCTTTGCTGAATGCTTGCAGATAGAAAAAAAAATGTAGCCAGGTAGCGCGTCATACGGACATTTATGTCTGAGTAACATAACATATTTATGCGTATAAATATGACTGCGTAGTCAGGCTACTGTTGAGCTCCCAAAAAGGCAAATAAAAGATAGAATCAGGAAGGAGGCTAAAAGAAAATAATGATGATGAAACTCTGGTTGGGTGTGTTAAGGACACCTGCAAGGGGTTCCTACTTCAGGCAATCGATGTATGCAAAGAAAAAATAATCTTTTAACTAACCTTTCGAATAATCATGCATTTGTATCACCAATATTTTCATCACCAAAAATGTTATCTCTTCAGCTTTTACGGCACGGCTCGGCACGTTTTATCAAAAAATATTAAAGCACAAGCCTAGCTCGTGATCAGCTGACCTTTAGATGAGGTCATCTTGTGAACCATGTATGATTCGCCAAAGTTAATATATCAGAATATCGAACTATTACTATTATACTAAAAATAAAAATAAATTGTAAAGTGTAAATAAATTATCAAAAAAACCTCTAGCAAGATGGTTAGTTTGGTTTTTACATTCAGTGTAGGATCTTCCAATAAATTAGCTGTATGTAATGTCATCGAGGCCGAGCTATTAAATTCATAGACAACAGACATTCATTTTTTTTCGGCTGCCTTCCCTTCCTCAGGACTGCGCTGCGGTAAGGGCCCCTCAGCCTCTGAGGTAATGGCATCTTACTCATTGCGAAATTTGTGTGTGGGAGCATATTTTATCTGCATATATATATTTAATTTTATTTTTACATTAATATTAAAACACAAGCGTAATTATATAATATGCAGAATTTTAATATATTAAATATTACGCAGGGCGGAGGCTAGTGTTCTAAAGGAATCATAAAATTATCTTGTATAAGCTTGCTTGTGTTGCTGTTGGAAAAGTCCATAACGTCAAATGCACACACATCTTACTCAGAAATCACGTGGGAATGTTTAGGAATGCTTAATCATAGCAAAGTTTCCCTTTAGCTTATGAAAATTAAACTATTATCCACGTGCTTTGTCCACGTGCAATTCTATGATACAAACCTCGTTGATGTTTTCAACTTATGCCGTAGAAAGATTTTAAGTTTTAAATATTCCGAGTGAAAATGACTGGTAAATAAGGTTTTACTTTTTGCATGAGGTAATTAGTTTTTTTAACAACATTTTAAGTATCTGTTTGTTGTTTTAATAAGTATAATCACTGTTAGTTGTTGTTGGAATAAACAAGTAATAACCTTTTTTGTTAATTCTGTTTATTGACTATTTAAATCAACAGCGTTGTTTGTATTTACAACTGCATTTCTTGCAATTTATTTATGCATTTCAATAACGCATTGAGTGCGCAGTCCGATATCAGAATACTCCCTCCCACTCGCTTATGGTCGCGACCCGGTCCGAAGCTAGTCGAACAAGAATCGATGTCACACGAAGTCGTCGTGTTACCGCTCCCACTCCCCCGCTCACAACCATATCTCGCTTTCGCCGAGCTTCGAGCACCCCGCACCCGCATCCCGCTTGCATTCTAGTTCGACCGTCCACGTTGTCAACTGCGAATAGTCTTTCACTCAGCGTAAACATAACACAGAGCCTGTTAATATTAAAATAATTATTATAGTTACATTTTGCCGAGGTATATTTCGAAATTACAATGCGCAAGATAAGGTCTGGTGTTAAATAGTGACGCGGTGGACATTCAATAAGTGTTGATATCGTCGCGAGGTCAAAGACTGCTACAAAACTGTATAACTTTAGTGTCTTATTTCCAGTGAGATGTTGGGGAAGAGTTTTGGTTGACAGATTGACTGTTTTCGTCTGCTCGGACTTATTGCGAATGTGTATTGAAACGTTCATCGCTATCCACGGGCGCACTGCTATGCGCCACGACTTGGTACATTTTATTCGACACACATCTTCTGACCACTACTGCGAAGGAACACTTTAGTTATTCGAGCTGGTAAGATATATATAATCATTTTATTTTCTTAAATCTCGCATCTACCTTTATTTTGCAATAATTTTTCAAAGTAAGTAGGTAGGTATGTAATCAAATTAAAATGCAATAAAATGAAGTCGTTAAACGACCTTTTAATTTCAATCAAAAGAGCAAAAGACATTCTATATTCATCATTAATTTGTTTATAAATAGCCAACATTACCTAAATATTGAAACCAACGTTACACAGTTGAAGCTAAGAGGGCATTGACGTAATAAAAATGTCATACATATTCATTAAAATAATTTACCAGTGTAATTGGTATTAACAAATAATATGGTTATTGTTAAAAGAGAAAAGTAACAAAGACGTCACTACATTTGTGCGATGCAATGCGTTGCAGATTGCAGTCAACTGCTATTAATTGTGTGCGTTACGCGGAGTTAAAAAATAAACTTAAATATTAGGCTATATGTTCTCCCAGGTTGTGTTCTACATCTATGCCAAACTACAGGAAGGTCCGTTTAGCTGTTCTGGAGAGACGTAATAACAAACATCAATCCACCTAAACGTCCGCATTTATAATACTAGTTATATGCAAGAGTTCTGTTTATATTTTGTTGTTTACTTCATCGATAGTACCTTCACAATTAGACTGCAAAACAATTATATATCCAAGATTAGTTTGATCTGGCCTTCTTGCGTCGGTCTTAATATAAAACGCGTGGGTTCAGAGTCCACAAAACTGAAGTAAAGTTGATCTGAGTCCGGTTTTACACCTGCAGGGCAAGATTTTAATTACGTACTGATAGAAAGTTAATGTGTCGCTCCGAAAACGAATATCGTCTTGGATAGATGGAGTCGTCAACTCAACAACATTATTTATCTTAAGTATTTTGTTTTGTCACAATCTCTAATCAAAAATGACTTAAATACACATTAAAATCAATAACACAATATTATGTTTAGAATTAAGTACAATCACAGTCTTTAATTGGTACTGTTTTGACAAGATATTTGTAAATTTTTGAAAAGATATGAACGAAGTATTAAAACAATAAATATTACTATACAAACACAATATACATGAACAGTAATATACTAAGGAATTCAAATTAACAATACAGCCACCGCTATTGAAAATTGTAGGTTATGTACCATAATAACATTTGTAATAAGTCCTGAGTCAGTGTTTATATCTTATGTGAATATATAATTTTGTATTACAATACCACCTAAGATGAATAACAACTCCGTAAGTAAGCCATTATCCATCAATAGACCATACAACTTGGAAACACGATTTATTTCTTTATGTTGAAGTTATCAAGGAAAGTTGCTATTTTGTTTTAATGACGTCAGCGTGTCTTTTTGTCAATAACTAGCAACGCATCTGCAGTTCCTCTTGTGTGTCATGAGCGTTGATCCTTGGTGTTCCCGTCTTTCTTTTGCTATCCAAACCTATTAAAAAAATCATCGATGCCCATAAATATTTTTACAAAACTAGTATGAGCATTTTTAATATTTATGAGAAGAACCCAGAAGCATTCTTAAATGCCATAAGTATATTGGCGTTATGTAAAGTCAAAAAGCAGGTCGACACCTCTTTGTTGCCATACAAATATGGTCAAATTAAAAACCTGTTATATTGTAATAACACGACAATATGGCTCATTTATTTACCTACATTATCCTTGTTTTCTTGGACGTTCTGAATGACCGGACGATTCTATAGCTCGTAATTTTGTAAATGGCGAACAGTTGGCATATTATCTAAATATAAAATTTTAAACGCAGCTTGCGAAAGATTTATGTAATCAACATTAAATTTACACGGCAACACTGAATCTTTATTATTATAACAAAAGTGGGAGTGTCAACGAAAAAGTTACGTAAAGATCACCAAGTAGGTTTAATATTTGTTACTGGTTGCTAACAAAACAATTATAAATGGATATCTTCTTGATATTTAAAAAGAAAAGATAGCCAATCAACAAGTAAGCGTTGTTTCTCGTAATGTGGAGGTGAAACAAGTGTAGCCGGTCTAGTCGACCGAGAGCTAGTTGTTAATAATGAATTATTCATAAACTTATCGATATATTGATGTCCGTTTACTGGCCTTTATTAACGTGAACGACGTTATTATACAGCTCTCTAGACGGTGGTTATAATGCCTAGTACACAGTTGATAGTTTGACTGTCGAATTATCATGAAATCAAATTATATCTTCGAAAAAAGAGACAACAAAATGTTTCAATGCAAATTTCACGATAGTAGAATTTCATGTTTAAAGAAAGAAAGAAAGAAAGAAAAACATTTATTACCACACAGATTCGAGAGAAAAATATACATACAGCACAGATTTATGATAAGGAATTAAAGAAAACTGTTGCTAAAGGAGCCAGCTGAGCGTATGCAGGGACAGCCTAGAAAGTCCCTGCTCTGGTTTTCTGTTGGCTCCTTTGCATCCACCAGAATAATATAGACATGGAAGGGATAACTCTTACCAACTGCGACGCGATGTTTATGAGTACTACTTAACCGTTTTGGTAGCAGTTGTATGTATATTTAAATTGTTACAACCGTTAATCCATATGGCGGCGAGAATTATGTAAGTATACGAACATTATATAGTAGTTCTAGTTTGGCGGTGATCATCGATTGGCGATCTTTTCAACGATCTGAGTTTTTTTTTAATTAAGATAATATTTCTATGAGGAATGTAATTGCATCGTATTTTAAACGATTATTGAATAAGAATTTACAGAGTTTGTAATAAATTATTCCACCGAGCTCAAAAAAAAAATGACTCAGCTTACTGGTCCCTAACTGGCGAAACGACCCTATACTGTTATATGTACTTAAGCTTGGCCCTAAAATAGAGTTGACAAAACAACGTTATTCGTTTACGTCGCAACTAAAACAAAAAAATAACTATAAATTTTAACTGCATCCCAGTTACACATGTTAATGTTTTACAAAAAAAAAAACTACTAAATATGTTATGGCTGTAATGTTCGTAACATTTTTTTGTTGCCATCTCAAAAAAACAGATCACGAAATGTTTTATGTAGTGTTTCGCCAATGTGAACTCATGGTAAAGATTTGATATACTTTCCTGTATTACTTGTGTTTTGAACTGTTATTGCAAGGTATGTTATTGGGTTAAACCTGAAAGATGAGGTATTGAACGGAAAACCCTAAGTCATGAGGTTTTATCAATATAATATTTTACTAGACAAGGTTTGTTTTTGTTTCAGTCTTTCGGCAGTGAAAACTTACGGTATATAAGTTTGTTTGAAATTCTTTTGTCATCGGGCAGTAATTTTCCAAAGTTATGCGTCGCTGCAATAATATTTGTGCACTTGCCATTGTCGTTGATTCTTCGGTTTGGGCATCGATCTTACGAATATTATAAATGCGAATGTTTAGATGGATTGATGGATGTGTGAAGATATCTCCGAAACGGCTCAATGGATTTTAATGAAATTTGACATACATATATATGTAAACGTTATAATTATGTTTTTTGTTTAATTTTGCGCGGACGGACTTTCGGGCGACAGCTAATCTTTTAAAAGTAATGTTGCTAAAACAAATTTTTGTTGATCCCTTTGGTTATTTCGTAGGTACTTTTTAGGTTACAAAGATTCAAATATAGTAAATTATCTAGAGTAGTTACTATGCTATGCCTTATTAAATTTTTTATTTTCATAAAGTTTTAGCTACGCATTCATGTGCTTTTAACACTTAAATATTTACTTGTTCATTCTCATTTTTATTGACCTTAATTATGGAATGTTTCAGCGTCTTTACGTCCTTTTAACTCGTATAAAGATCAACGCCCTTTTAATAAACTTAATGCTATTTATTACAAAGAAAATATTTCCGCAAAACATGCAATAAATATAATTTTATAGTCTTTTACATCTGCGATGATAAGCTTTTATAAAACAACAAAGAGAACTGGTGTTCTCAGAGATCGTAATTTTGTAGATTAATAATATTTTGGCCGTTATAACACATTTGTATTTAAGGGACAGGGTATATGTAGCAAAATATACTTTAATTTGCATAACTTACTAACTATTGTAATTATGTTATTATAAGAAAATTCAAGCTGGGCATAGCTAATTAAAAAAAATGTTTTAATAGACTTTTTTTATTGTTTTTTTTTTCAGATCGCTATTGATGGCGTTGCTTTGCATCCGTGGCGACTGGTACCTGTATATTTGGCTGATATACTGCAAGATCTATTCGGCAGTCGTATGGCTTGTCGGCAATCACTGCCGCGGAGCTGATAAGCGGGCCGTGATAACTGCCGGAGCCGGCCAGTCGTCTGCAAGCCTCCACAGAGTGCGCACGCGTCGCAAGAAATCGCAGCACCATCGTGTCAAACACGTAGTCGCGTTAGTGAGGAGACCGTCATTGAGGCGAATCGTCATGGCACCAGGAGCGAGCACCGCGCACACCATGATGGAAGACAAGGAGAAGGCACTACACGGCGCCTTGGCCACAGGTTAGTCTTTGAAAGTGAAGGTTTGAATGAGATTTTTAACAAAGCATTCATTACCATTCTTGGCAGTTGTTTCAGGATGCGAGTATTTTCCAAATTTTATATTTAGAACGAAAATCTTACAGCGAAAGTTGTGAAACGGTATTGACACAGATTTTCATCTGTACGAAACGTTCGTTGAACCTTATTTTTCGATGTGTGTATTTTTTATTATGAAAAGCTAATATGCAGTAACAATCGCGTTTTAAGAATGATGTTTACTTTTCTAAGCGACTGGTAACGGAGGAGGCTAACAATTGAAAAAGAAATCGATACTCTTACGTGATGTGATTATAATTCGGCTAGTTAAATAACGCCTTGACTTTGAAACAATTTTAGGCATCGATTTTTCGGCGCCGCTCTCTTCCGTGCTTCCTGGTCTTGTTTGAATCGTAAGGTCGTAACCGAGGATCGTTGTTGATAAATAAATATCTTTATACATGTTTATACTTAATGTGAACTTATTTAATACAAGTTGTTAATGTGTAAATATTTACGCCTTGTGTAATCACACGGCCTTGTATGGCCAGTAACTTTTATCATAGTACGACAAAATTATATAGGCTGTTAAGAGTGGCGCTGCTGTCGCGATTGGTTCTGAGTATGTAAGACCTTCATGGGCATGGGAATTTAAAAAAAAATCTCTTATGAAACTATTTTGTCAGAGGGGCGCTAGTTAGCTATATCATAATTTAGTTTGACTTTTGACCAACGTTTCGGATAACTTTGTCGGTCTCTACACGACTGTTTAAAAACATTTCTTTTAAGATTCTGAGGCAAAGACTCTGCTATACGAGTTCGTATATAAAAAAAGATTAAAATATTTGTACTGCAAATATTAACGTGCTTTGTAAACTTGCAAATCATCATGTTAATAAGAATGTTTAAGAGATTATTCGAATTTGGAATGTCAGGTCATGAATTTTAGGCGCGTAAATAGTGCACTTTGGTCTTATATTCATGCTTTATAATTGAAGCGGTAGTTTCTCAGTATCTGATTGCGTTCTTATTAAGTATTTCTTGGCGTCACTTCAAGATATAATGAGCTACAGAGATATATTCAGAAGAAAGCAATTCGTTTTATCGATGAAACCAAGTTCGAGAACGATCAGTCATTATTTATGTAACGATCCAACGTACTAGCACCATTCATATAGAGCTATATGAAAATTAAGATGACATAATTCTGATTATCGATTGTACGAGTTCGTTTTCCCGCCCTTTTTTGAAGGTTAAAAAAATCTATTAATTTGGTTTTAATTTAAAAGCGTCACCTTTGGCAGCAGAAAGCTCCCCAGATTAAAATTATTTTGGTTTTAAAATTTAAAGTGCTGTTAACCTAATTTAAATTTTTCCTTTTATTCTGGCGTATCTCCACTAATAGAGATTGGTTCAGTTTAGTAAATCTGTCTTCTTACAAACGAAACAGTTCTTCAAATCTGGCAATGGTATTCCTTGATGTTTACTAGATTGAAATTCAACATCTATCCCTTTCATATGACTGCTTATCGTTCTAAGTGTGAAAATATGGTATTAAAATGTTATTAAAATAAATAGAGATAAATCAAATGATTATTGTAGCCGTTAAAGTATCGTTTCTTCTTAGAACTAATGCATCACTAGCTATGGCACACTGCCAGGCAAAATTATTTGGTTCCCGTGTGTCATGAGAATAAACGTATTGAGTAATTATTAGTATCATGTAATGTACACCTACATTTCACGCATTCGTGTCGTGGTAAATACAACTAAGCAATAAAATTATAAAACCTAAAACTCTATTTAAAGCATTTTAAATTATTTAGTAGGTAAGCTGTTTCGCTTTCAATAGAAATGTTATGCTTCAAGTTTCGTGAATGTTGTTTGTTTTCTTCAATATTATGGCATTGTAATATTAGCCGTCGCTCGCAATTCCTTCCGCCCGGAATAAAAAAGAAACATAAATAGTACTAATATATACACATAATTATGTTCTATATGTATGTCAAATTTCATCAATACACTTTCAACCGTTCTGGAGATACCTTGTTTTAGACATTATTAATTAGAATCCTTTGGCGTGAATGGCGCACTTGCATTACCAAGTCAAGTGTCAGAATTATTAGTGAGGGGACATAAACGTCGACATTTTATTACGGCTAGTGTTGCGACAGTACACCGGCACAGTGCCGGATTTTATTCCTAACAGTTGGAACAAACATCCATCCATCGATCTAAATATTCGTATATAAAATATTAGTATGATTATTGCGTATTTTTGTTAGTTACATTCACTAATTTTCATATCAAACACCGATTTTTTTATTCGCAAAGATTAGAAAATTGTTTTATGATTCTTATAATGAGATTTCATTGCCGAATCTTTTCTGTTTATGATAGAAAGAAATATGCCTCTTTCATAATAACACTAATAATTGCTTACGCAAAAGGAATTTAGAATAGATGCAAGTGATATTTGCTTTCACTCATGAATTTCGCAATTATTAAGATGGCGAAGCATTTATTTATGCTTAATATTTACACTTGTAAAAGATAACTTCCAAGTCGTTCTGTGCAAATTGATAACATATTATATAGTCTTGAGATCGGTCAATTGCCTTAAGCAAGCAGTACCACAGAGCGCAATTGAACTTTGAGCTTCACGTTCAAAAATAGATGAACAGTTTTAAAGTCACTGTAACGCTTTTTATTAGCACTAAGTGAAATATCAAAGTTCAATCCACAACTGGAGCTATAATCGTCAACAACTAACAACTTTGCCAAAGTATCTTGGGACGATATTCTATAGTATGGAGAGGTCTCCAGTTCCGATAATAATTATTTTTATAATTTAGGGTAAATATATGACAAAAAATACATTATAACGATTCGATTAAGAGGAAAATGTAATTTGTATTACGTAGTAACAAACATCGAATGGAATGAGCCAAATTCGTCAATGTTCAAAACATGTTTTACGAAACTGCGATGACGTCGGACCACGCCCCCGGTACCAACGGTTAATAGTTTCGATTGGCAACACAGAATATAAAATTATTGCCACAGATTATATTTCAAATATATTTAATACTAGCTGATAAGACTCCGTCTGCGCGGATTAAAAAAAACATAATTAGTAGCCTATGTGTTCTTCCAGAATGTTATATATTTCTGCCTAATTCCATCAAAATCCGTTGGGCCGTTCTGCAGATACCTTAAAACTCACAAACATCCAGCCATCCATCAATCCATCCAAACATTTGCTTTTATATAATAATATTAGTAAGATTGGTAAGAAGTAAGATTACAGTTTATCAAGTTGTAATAAACTAAAAACTATTTAGACTTATATTTAATGAAGATATATGGTTATTATGGTATCTTTATTATTTATTAGTTATTATGTTTACAAAATAGACATGCTGGGTAATAACTTCTAGATTTTTAGAGTACTCTGAACTTAAAAGTAAACAATAATGACATGATAAATTACAGTTGTTTTCGCTTAACTTCGTCGTGCCCCCAGTGCCGTTTTATCAGGGGGCGTGTTGCTACCAACGTTATCTTTAACAAATATGTAGCTTCGCCATGTTGGCATTGCAAGACGGATTCGTTTGTTGAGTGATGTAATGGCTTTATCTGTATTTAAATTTAAACGAAGACTATTACAAAAACAACTGAGTGAAATAAAAAAATACGTTTATCTATAAAATTCTTTGGGACTTTAAAGCCATATGCATGTAGATAATAGCAGTTGACAGTTAAGGAAAATGTTTTAAAGTTAATATGAGTTAGCTATTTCATTAGTGATATACGTTTAAAAACTGACTGAAAAACAGATGTTTTACTCTAAATTACTAGTATAAGATGACTAGCGCTAGATTGGCTTTTAAACCTATTGTTAAAATTGACAAAATATATTATTTGAAGTAACAATTATAATTAAGTAACTGTCGCTCGCGATTCCGTCCGCGTGGAGTAAAAAAAACATAATTAGTTCAGGAAATATTCGAATTTTTCTCACCTTTTAAACCTTCCCTAGACCTCCACGAACATTTCAAGACCAAGGTAAGATAAATCCGTTCTCGAGTTTTAGCGAGACTAACGAACAACAATTGATTTTTATATATAGATCATTTATCTAATACGCAAACTTTTTTGTGATGAAGTAACACTGAACAAAGTGAAAATTAGTCCTCTTTCCCTTCCCACCCTTTTTCTTATAAGGAAAGGATGGGAAGTGGAAGTGGACTTTCCGGATGAGAGGATGCATGGAAAGGGAAAACATTTTCTTTCTGTGCATCCTCTCCTCCGTCGATTAAAGGTAGGCAACGCATATGCAATTGCGTATGTCTATGGGCAACGGTCACTTCGCTATTTCAGTGATTTCAGGTGGCCGCTCGCTCGTTTGCCACCTTGTGATATAAAAAAAACAAAGGTACTTTGCAGTACCTTTGTTTTTTTTTGTCGATACGAGACAATTGTCGATAAGTCATAGAAAATATTTTATCTATGGTATACTTACTCCATAGATAAGATTATTGTTGATAAAATATTGAAAACATGTGGGCGTTGACTACTACCGGTATAACAAGTTTGTTTTTTTTTAACATTCAAGTCCTAAATACAATATCGTGGTGGATAAATGTGAACGCATAACGGAAGCAAACGATTTTAAATGACAGTAACTTTTTTATTAGCAAAAACAATGTTAGTAATAGGTCATGAAGTATTCAAAACTCTATGAGTGTTCCTTGTTTATGAATTCTTAAAATGAAATAAATAAACAATTATGTCATACAAAATATTTTTTATTATTCACGAGTAAAATGAGATCTCCTTACTTACCTTACTAATATTATAAATGCGAAAACTCTGTCTGTCTGTCTGTCCTTCTTTCACGCAAAAACAACTGAATCGGTTTAAATGAAATTTGGTACATAGATAGTCTAGAGTCTGGGGAAGGACATAGGCTACTTAACGCACGGGTTGTAAGGGGTTGAAAGTAGAAATGGAAATTAGTATAGGAATATCATCCTATTTTCAGTTAGAAGCTTGATATTTATTTTTTAGGCTGTTCATTCGATAGAAATAAATATATTCGACGAAGTCGCGGACACAGCTTGTATCTTTATAAACTTAGGCAAGATACTAAGAAAATATAATTACAATCATCATTTTTTATTTGATTAAGATACTTTGAAGCGTTATCAGTTCACGACATTAAAACATGATGTAACAAATAATTATGTAATTAAAAAGAGAATAAGATTATTACGCAAATTGTTATTATAGCTGGCAATACTCAAGTGACATGTTGGCGGGAATTCTCCGAAGGGTCACTACGTCAAGTGACCGAATGACTGCAAATTGCACGCGACATGAGATGGCCGCGTGAAAGGCGGACGTCATTCATTCATGTTGTTTTCTAAAATCAATAGTGCACAACATAAATAATAAATACAACTAGCTATCGCACGCAATTCCGTCCGCGCGAAATTTTAAAAAACTTAGTAGCCTATGTGTTCTTTCAGACTATTTCTACATTTATGCTAAATTTAAGAGAGATCGATACTGCCATTCTGGAGATATCTTATAACAAACATCCACCCGTCCCTACATACATCCAAATATTCGCATTTATCATATTAGTCAGAAGTAAGAATGAATATACAGTCTGACAAGTATACAGCAAACTGTCATAATAAGAGCTGTAATTTAGACGTATATTTGACATTTCACTAAAATGGATAGGAAATAAACGTCCTTGACTGTACAGGATCGACTACACATTTAATTTAGTCTGCCAGATATAAATAATATAATGTTATATTAGAAGACGCTACTGCGATTACGGATTTATACGCGGTGAAAGTCATTCGGGATACATTCTTGATATTCTGGCAGCGGTCACTAGAAACAAAAGAAATAGCGTTTTACAGTTAAAACTAAGGTATGTAAAACATAAAAAAACTAACTAATATGTATTTTTGTTTATATTTTGTAAATTCTGTTCAATCTCAAATGTTATGTAATTACTTGATCCCTATTAATTACGATATTTAAATGTGCCTTCAATATAATCTTACCAACATTATAAATGCGAATGTTTGGATGGATGGATGGAAGGATGTATGTTTGAAGGCATCTCCGGAAACTCATAACGGATTGTGAGGAAATTCGGCACACATGTAGAACATAGTCTGAAAGAATACAGAGGCTACTAAATATTTTTTTTATTGCCATACAGAGTCGCAGGCGATAGCTAGTCTAAAATACAATTAACACACGTGCTGTTTCCTTTATCATAAAATTTATTAAGCTACTTTTTATTTGTTTGTATCTCCTTACATTGTAACATAAAATTCCAAAGTTTAAGATTTCATATTTTAATAATAATAGAATTTAATATAGTTTGCTATTAATTACGTGAATTGTACTGTCTAGTTAATTAAAATACATACGTACTTCAGAGTTTAATTAACAATTTCAATTTCCTGGTCGAACGATATTAAACAAGATTTTTATGTTCTATATTGTTTATAGCGTCGGTGGCTCAGGATTCAAGCACTTGACTTACAGTCTTGGGTTCGAATCCCGCCATGTACCGATGTGTTTTTCGATTTCCGATTTACATACGTACATTTATCCGACGTTCTTACGGTGAAGGAAGACATCGTGATGCAACCTGCTCATATCTGAGAAGAAATTCAAAGATATGTGTGAAGTCAACCAACCCGCATTTGCCTAGCGTGATTGACTATGGCCTTGTCACCCTTAATTTTGGGTAGGCTCCTCGGTGGAGACATATAGTGAGCTGATGATGTGTTCCAAGGCCAAATGTATTATGGCATTTTGGTTCATATGTTGACGAAATAAAATTTATATTTAATTATATGTAAATATTCGAGAACAACGCGTTAGTTGAGATCATGGATCTATAAATATAGTCGACCATCTCTCGAGATCAAATAAGTTTGTTGAATCTATTAGAGGTAGTTATTTGCTCGTTGTTTTATTTATAACTTAAGATTTGTATAAACGGCTTATTAAATTAAATTACACATAACGACACAAGATAATTATTGAAAAATTAATATAATAATTTACTTGATGTTATCCACATAACCAATACTGATAAAAACATAATTGTTACGAATTATTCAAAATTTCGTCAGACATTATAATAAACTTATATAAAAACGGCTAAAATACTCGCGTATATTCGTCCGGTGGCCCTTCATCAGAAAGAGTGGGACTGGTATTATTTTGCGGACGCGGCCCGTCGCTTATGCCCTAGGGGGCCTGATAAAGGTCCCCCGATGGGCTCGAAACTAATCGGTACCGCCACCGGACGAATAATATGTAAGTGTTTTAGACGTTTTTATATAAGTTTATAAATTTAATTGGTTAAAATTTCATAAATCTCTTTCTTCTTCAGTAGTATGAAATCTGGAACTGATCGTATTTCAATAATAAATACTGTTTGTTTCTATTAGTTAATGATATTATGCAACTAAATATAGTCGCCCTATATAACTGGCCTCGAATCACTTGGCTTGTGTTCACTGCACTGTGGAACTATGCTTTTCTCGACAGTACAAAGTCCAAATCAATCTACTAGGGTTGTCGATTGATAACGAATTTTATGTTTCGATTAAAATTCACTTTGATTTTTTAATGTAGTAGACAGCCCTAGTTATCGCCGAACATCACGCCACGCGGACTGCTGCATGACGTTCTAGAATTTGCCGCCTAAATGTTAGCGTGATTATTTCTGAATGTATGACGGTACCAAATACCCTTGTTTTTTACTCATAGCCCTTGGTCAGATGAGCTATGTTCTCTTCTACTATATATTTGCTGTTTAATGATATCCCTTGAAGAGGCGTAGAACTATAAATCAACGGAAACAATTTCATTGCGTCAGACAATGTCGGCTTGTTATGACATTTACAATTGACGCCAGTTAAAAACAGTGCCTAATAAATTAGTCGCGTGAGCATTGTTTCCATTAACCAGGCGTGTCGAGGTGAATGACGTGGGTGCGTTTGCATTGGAAATTGTGTTTAGCGCGAGGGCGCGCCGCTATACCGACATTTTATTGGTCGACCTCATATTTGTTCTAGTGGCCATGTTGTTTTATTTATAAATTGCTTTAGCCCTCAGTACGCAACACATTTTTACATACGATTTGTACTCAACTCTATGAAGAAAAATAAGTCTTGCTACTAGAGATTTCTATACATTTTTTTTCGTAATACTCTTTTTAAATTTGCCTGGCTTCGCTAAAAAATCTGCTACTACATTTCTACTATGATATTTACAAAATTATGATTTTCCCGTGGACCCAAGCGACACTTGGACTTAACTTAATAGGTCTCTTTAATTTTGATTTAACTAACTATTTTTTTTTTATTAATTTATTTAATTTCATAATTGCCAATATTATTTTTTTATTCTGCAAAGAAAAAATTGTTTATTCTACAAGAACATTTCAAGTTTATTGAGATAATTATAACATTGATTGAAAGATAATCGCTTATCAAGTTGACCCGGACAGTTTGCTTAAACAACCAATGTTACTCCTGATTACATCATATTTGCAAAAAATATAAATTTAATAAAAAAAGTTTTAATATTATAACCATTTGATATATGCTCATCATCACATATCAATAAATCCTCTTTTTCCATAGAGTAGAAGTCTAGCATGCACCCAATATTTATGCCTAAAATAAAAATATTATGACAAATGACCTTTGCCTGATGTGTGGAAGATTTAAAAAAACGCACTCGCGCCTACCCGCCGTAGGTGAAAGGGCAAGATGAGGATTTTGACCTTGATATAAAATCAACGTAATTAATTTTAAACGAGAGGAACATTTCCATTGTCCTTGTATGGTACAAGGACAATGGAAATGTTATCTTGCCTCTCTCTTGTGAACATGTAATATAGGGTGATATATTAAATTGAATAATAAAATGATCTGTAATACAGGATGATATTAAGTTGGTATATTTATTGTTGCAGTGTCGATGCGTTCACGACGTATTAGCCAGTTCGCTCCACTGCTGATCGCGCTGGTGGGACTGCCGGCTCGCGGCAAGAGCCAGCTGGCGCACCGCCTCTCCAGGCACCTCAACTGGAATGGAGAGAGCACCAAAGGTAACATCTTAATAACTTTTACAAACTTACTCTAGGGTTGGTCTTCGTAATTTCATAAAATCATGTATCGCATAAAGTAGTAGTTCCTTCTTTCTTGTTACCTTTTTCTAAATTAAACTGGAAATAATAACGCATAAATAATAAAGCGCTTGCTAAAATTATGTTCAATCAAAAGATAACTATTCCACGAAATCTTACTTATATATTTGGACGGATCTTTGTTAGAAAATATCTTCAGAACAGCTATATGGGTCTCGCTGATATATCAAGTTTTGTTTTTTAATACTATGTGGACATAGTCGCGAGCAACGGCTACTTATTATTACGAGTGACAATTGTCCAGTGAGTTACCATTAAATGACAGTTTATAAAACATATGTCTACACTGTACCAACCTCGACATAAATTGTGTCGTTTTATATCTAAAAGCATCTGAGAAACGATAACAAATACATTGCAGTGCCTTGACCTGGTTGAAGGCAAATGTCTGTCAACATGTAGATTGCAGACAGTATTGTACTTTTGATTAGATATTAACAATTGTATATTTTCTTATCCATACTTTTATTACTAATTAGCAGCATATGTGTTCTTCCAGACTATGATCTACATCTATGCCAAATTTCAGCTATATCCATACAACCATTCGTGAGATATCTTCAAATATCCATCCAAACATTCGCATTTATAATATTAGTAAGTAGTAATGTTCATCTGAATATTAGATGAGATAAAATTACGTTATTTTCTAAGAAATTATTTAAGAAAATTAAAGCTACAAGTTTTACTATAAGTAAACTGTTTTATTTAATCCATTTTCCTGTTAAAGTACTTATTATAATACTAATAAATAATCTATCGTGTACTTTGATATAAGTCCGGTGGGTCAATGTCCTTAATTATTTTAGTGTTGTTCAACGTTCTGATAAAATTATCGTGCCTTTTAATATTATAATACTATTTACTTATTCGTATTTGACCAAAGGATATCTTATAAAAGTGCTTTAAGCATTAGCTCAATGTCTTTTTTATTAAAGTTGCCAGTACGATTTAAAATTAATACTGGCAACTTTATTAGTGCCCATGAAGAATGCGAATCAACTTAAACTACAGAATAATATGTGTAAACATCCATTCAAAGGACAAGATTATATTATTACTGTTATAACTAAGATATGATTCATTACATTGACTTTTAAAAATAAAAAAAATATTAACCTTTCAAGTGCCACTTGGTTTAAATTGTCACGCAACTAATTGTGATTTTTTTTTGTTTTGTGCCAGTGTTCGACTGTAGCGAATATCGTCGCAAACACATGGCTTTGTACGGCAGCCATGACATCTTCCGTGCTGACAACCAGCAAGGTTCCGCAATCCGCCGGCAGAGCGCCCGCGAGGCGGTACAAGACGCTGTACTTTGGCTCAAAGAAGGGAATAGTGTCGCTGTAAGTTGATTCTTTATATTTACAATAATGCTTGTTGCCACTATTATTACGTCATTTTGACGTAATAATAGTGGCATTGGTGCTTACGCAAAGTGGTAATGCCGATGAAGATTATCAAGATCGGATTATTCTATGAGATCTTTGTAAATTGAAGACGCGTGATAATGAATATTTTTAAATTATGAATGTACTTTTTGGAAATCTGTGCGATACATTTGCAAGTTATCGGCGTTTAAAGTGTTGGCATATTCTTAAATAGGAATATGCCAACACTTTAAACACTTTAAATTAAGTTTCGTTAGTTACTAAATAGTAACTAACGAAACTTAATTTTCTTAATCTGTTTATCCATCCATTGCAATTAACATCCTGTTTACTAAGTTGTTATAGATAAGCTAGTGAAGAGACGAAACATAATATAAATAACAGATTATGAATAACACCATTAGAGATAGCTGTCTGCTATTGACGTAACGAACTATTTGCATGATACGCTGATCTCTTGATAAATAACATCCTATTGCAAACAGACAGCGCACGAGTTATTATGGCAAACTTTGTTTATGCCGTTAAAACTTTAAAAAGAGATAAAAAAACTCAATTCATATGAGCTTGTCAAAAAGTTTATTAATAATAAACTGATATATAAACACGACTAAACACTCACGTATATTCGTCCGGTGGCGGCACCGACTAGTTCCGAGCCCAACGGGGGCCCTTCATGGTATTATTTCGCGGACGCGGCCCGTCGCTCACAGAAACAGTGACAACAGTTTGATTAATTTAATATTAATAATAAAAAAAAACTTAATATCATTCAATTCATCATCAAAGAAAACAGTTTCCATTCTTTCTGTTTCGCTTTACAAGGTCATTAAGATTCGACCTAAAAAATATAGTACAAAAGTCTACCATTAGATCATCATCAGTCTAATTTTTGTCAAACCATAGCTGTTCTATTCCAGATATTCGATGGTACGAACATAACACGTGAGCAACGTCGCGAGCTAGACGATTATTGTCAATCCGACATGGGCTTCAGGATTCTCTTCATCGAATGCGTCTGCGAGGATCAAGAGTTGCTGGAGAGAAACATCATTGAGATCCTGCATTACTCAGCTGATTACAAAAGTATGAGTGAAGAGGAAGCGGTTGATGATCTGCGAAAGAAATTGGAACACTACATGCGTCAGTATGAACCAATAGACGGGAATCTAGAGACCATTAGCTTTGTCAGAGTTGAGAATATGGGAGAGACGGTGACAGCGCACAAAGTGATCGGACAAAAGGAGTCCGGAATACTTGGATATCTGTCCGGAATGAGAGCTCTGCCGCAGACTTTGTATTTCACTCGGGTGAGTTTACAACTTTATTTATCTGTACTAATATTATTAAAAAGAAAGAATTTATTGTTTGTATGTTTGTTTGCATTCAGTGATCCCGAAACTTTTGTTGAAAAAGTTAGTATTGGAAATATAAACTATCCGCGGGTGACATATACTAGATTTTTTAATTCGGCATAAACGAAGTCGCGGGCAACTGCTATTGGCAATAAAGAAATCTATTTTTATCTAAACAATTATTTAGCTGTTAGTAAAATAAAGTTGTCTTGGAAGTTTGATATCATGTCTTTAGTCAGAATCAATTTTCTTACATGTGACTTTATTATGATTAGAAATTAATATATATGACTTTGTGACATTTTGTGATACGATATATAAACATATTTCTCATGTCACAACTTTCATTCTGATATGAAATGGAAATTTTATTAACATTGCTATTTATAACAATAAACAAGTCTCGGAAAACAGACATACCATTTGAATAAATATATCAGTACGCTCCAGCTGTTTTATATCACAGTTCTAGACACAAACATTATTGCTATTTCTGATTTTTCTAAAGAGTATGAAAGAGATGTCTATATATATTTTACTTCTTACTAATATTATAAATGCGAATGTTTAGATGGATGTTTGTTTGTTTGAAGGTATCTCCAAAACGGCTTAACGGATCTCGATGAAATTTGGTATACATATACAACATAGTCTGGAAGAACACGTAGGGTGCTAAGTGTGTTTTTTTAATTCCGCACGGACGGATTCCCGGGCAACTGCTACTTTAAATTTTTTTTAATTATTCGTACTTGAGTTCCAAATTTACTTAACTTTTCCGAAGATATCGAAATATCCGTATTAATATATAATGGTTATAATTTTGGCAAACATTCTGAAAACTGGAGACATTTCTGAGAATTTGCCAAAAATGTTTTAGGTCGAATACAATGTAGCGTACTAGAAATCCAAAGTTTACTATCATTTTCTGATATAGAATACTATATTTAAATGAAAATATATTCAGATCAAAGTGTCCACAATTCATTCCCAATAATAACACGAACAAAGAAATTAATAAAACAAAAGGAAGCTGTTTTGTCAGTGGTGTTGTCATTTTTTGCAGAATAAACAACTGACGTTAAAAGTGTCAATCGATTCGTACTTTAACACATGCGGGGGTATTGTATAAATAACTAGCGGTCGCCCGCGACTCTATCCGCGCGGCATTAAAAAAATATGCAGCCTAAGTGGTCTTCCAAACTATATTCTATATGGATGCCAAATTTAATCGAGATTCCGTTGAGCCGTTCTGGATATACCTTCAAACACCCATCCATCTTAGCATTTGCATAATATTAGTAAGGTAATTAATAGTAATTAGTTATTACCTAAGGGTTGTTTAATTAATAATATGCAATTATTTAGCACGGTGAAAGCGAGTACAACGTGGTGGGTCGTATTGGTGGTGACGCGGCGCTGTCCGCACGCGGTCAACTGTACGCGCGCGCGCTCGCCGAACATGTCAACGCACTTGCTGGCCGCGAACCTCTCACCGTCTGGACATCGGAATTACGGCGCACCAAGCAAACAGCCGCTGATATCCGAGCACCAAAGTACCCGTTGCGAGCACTCAATGAACTGGACGCTGTGAGTATACTTTGTTACGCTTACGAACGTTGAAACTAATTTTTGTCCTGAACCGATACTTAATTCTGTCCTGTACTTGTCCTGGCCTGTCATATCCTTATTCCTAATAAATGTTGTAGTCCATGCCTATACGATTTTTCTTGCATGAAAGTCAAATGATGAGTCGTTGGCACGGTGATATAAAAAATAATTTGAGTGACAAGGGGGTGTTAAAAGGATCAGTCGTCGGATTTTTTGATGATGTCAGATTACTATAGTTAGTTTTTTTGAATCAATTAGATTAGAAAAATAAAATTTACTTAAATAGGTTAAAATAGATTTATTATTGGGTTTGCCAGTTTTAAGATATGGACATTATTGAGATGTTAAAGTAATCTGACCTAATGATAATGATTGTTCGTTACAGACTAAACACATCTTTTCCACTAATTGCGTCAGTTTAATACGCATTTATTACGATTTAAGCGAAATTATATCGAATTATCGATTAATCAATACTTAAAGTCGGATTATTCTGATAGAACAGCAATATAGTGATTGCTTTTAAGCCAGGAGAATGTTTAAATCATTGTTTGTCAATTTATCGAAAGGAATGTGTTTTATTTGACTTTGTTATTTAGATAAGAAACTCGCTTTTATATTTAATTCACGATTTTCGCGAAAGTTCCTAACAATCATTTACAGTGAGTTTCTGAGACCAAATTCTTTGTTTAAATCATATTGTTATCTCAGTTTTGTCAGAGACAGGGATGACAATATGTATTATACCTACATTTTGGTCTCAGAAAGCCACGGTACTTACTACTACTACTACTCTATAGTTAGGAAAATTATATTTTCGTATTTATTCGCACACGTGTAAAATAATTGCATTCAATAAATTACATTGTACAGTTATTACGTATTCTAAAATAATACTGTTATGTTACTAAAGGTTTTAAAGACATTTCAGTGTGATTAAAAATAATTATAATTATTGTTTACTGACGTTCAATTCCGTCTGTATGGAATTATAAAAAAAACATAGTAGTCTATGTGTTCTTCCAGACAGTGCTCTACATCTATGCCAAATTTCATCGAAATCCGTAAGCGGGTCTGGAGATACATCGAACAAACATCTATCTAAACATTCGCATTAACTTAGTAAGATTAATTATGACTCTTTAACATTGTTAGATTGTCTTAGAATTTTAATATTTTAACAGGGATTCATTAAAACCTTTGTGTGAAAAGAAAGATAATGTTCCCGTATCATTTCATTGCTGTGACGTTTGTATTAATATATATTTTTAACCGACTTCATAAAGGAGGAGGTACACGATTCGTCTGTATGTTTTTTGTTAAAGAAAGTTGTAACGATATGTAACAATACAAGTGTCACGACAGTGAAATTCTACGTTAAATGTTCTAACACTCTGATAAACCAGTTACCTACTTACCATCTGGGACAAGGTGGTAACACATTTTCTATTTATCATAAATGATAGTTGAATTATGGAAAAATGGAACGTTTTATTCTGATAAGAAATAAGTAAAGTTACGAATAAATTTACATATTATTCTATATATTGCAATAAAAAGTAGTAGAATTTTTTTCTCTTTTAATATAAGTATGTATAAATTATATTAAGTTATTATTTATTAATAATTAATTAAAATATTTTCTTATTGTGCATCCTCTCCTCCGTCTATTAAAAGTAGGCAACACGTATGCAATTGCGTATGTATGGGCAACGGTCACTTCGCTATTTCAGCGATTTCAGGTGGCTCGCTCGTTTCCCACCTTATGATATATAAAATAATATTGTATATTTAAATAAAATAACAATTGAATAAAATCTTTTCTAGTACAAGAGTTAGTCTGTACTTCAAAATAACATTGTTGTCGTCCGATTTCTTTGACAAATCGTATTTATCTGATTATTTCACCTTTGTATGATCACGTATTAAAAATAAGTGATATTTTAATGTTATTTGTAAACAAACCAAACGACCGATAGCGAATGATAAAAAATATTGTTGAATTAAACAGCTCTGAACATTTTTACCAAGCGTGATATCTTTCTAAAAATATTTTTTACTGTACTTTGTTGGTACTTTCTTAAACAATTAGCTATCGCCCGTGACTCCGTAATGACTATGTATTCTTCCAGACTATGTTCTACATCTGTGTTAAATTTCATCAAGATCCGTTGACGCGTTCCGGAGATACCTTCAACAAACATCTATCGCTCTAAACATTCGCATTTATAATATTAGAAAGATAATAGGCTGAAAAAATGGAATAACAAAATCTAAATCGTCATTATTGATACTTCGTATATATAGTCTTATAAGCGTCAATAGCCTAATGCTTAAGGATACGGACTTTCGATCACGAGGTCGGGGGTTCGAATCCCGTCATTCGACTACTGTCGTTAACCATATCCTAGCACAAGCGTACAGCTTAGTTGGAATGGTAAAACAAATATTAGTAAATTTACAAAAAATCTGCTAATTTAAAAAAAAAATGGTTATAAATCGAAATTCACTTATTTACGTTTGTAATTATTACGTGGTTATTTTTAATATGATAAATTTATGATTCATACTCATATTAGGTAAAACCGAAGATAATACGTGATAGTACAATCTATGCAGAAGTGGTTTATATTGTACCAGGAAGTTTGATATGGGGCTATCTCTACTTTTTTAAGGGGCTCGGTTCTACGACTAAATGACTATGTCCTTGTTTCCTCATCTACATATATAAAACAAAGTCGTGTTAGTTACACTATTTATAACTCAAGAACGGCTTTACCGATATGGTTGAAAATTGGTGAGGTAGCTTAGAGCCAAGAGACAGACATAGGATACTATTTATTCTTTTTTTTCTTCGAATTTATGCCTTAAAGAGTTGCTTTTTATTTAACTTACTAATATTATAAATGCGAATGTTTAGATGGATTTGATGTGGATGGATGGATGGGTGGGCGGGCTCTACATACACTAATTAAGTTTTTTTTTATTATACATCCACGCGGACGGAGTCGCGGGCGACAGCTAGTTTTCAATAAATAAGCTATTATATAAGCCAACTCTCGTCATCATAGTATGATACTAACTTTATAAGTGCGAAATTTTGAATAGATGTTTGTTACTACGTATTTTCAAAACAGCTTAACAGATATCAATGAAGTTTGGCTCAGAACATAACATAAGAACATAGTCTAGACCAGTCTTCCCCAAAGTGGGCGACAACGCCTCCTTGTGGGCGCTGCAGGTCTCAAGTTGCGGGTTATAGTAAAAGTTTCGTTAACAATTCTCCGTTAATAAACATGTATAGGTCACAATAATTAATTAATTTAATTTGAAATTATAGTGGTTTTAAATATGTGAAAATATGGGGGCGATAAAAAAATATTTATTCTCAAAGTGGGCAGTAGACAAAATAAGTTTGGGAACCACTGGTCTAGAAGAACATCTAGGATACTAAGTATTTTTTAATTCCGGACGGTCGACGTCACGGGCAAAAGCTTATAGGCCGTAAAAATTGTTACAAACGTTATATATTTGCATTAGTTTAGTGAAAGCTTAAATGTTTATAGTACTTGGAAAGAATTAGTTGTTTGCATTAGAATTTGCTGTGTAAAGTTTGACTTTCTGATAAATATTACATAACCTAACCTCACGTGTAACCGCAATCGATTTTAAAATGTTTTCGCGCGCTTGCGCAATGCGTGATTTTCCTATAGTATTGTTGTGGTTTTTGATTACTTATTGTTATTATTGTTGAGGGTCTAGTAATTTCTTTTAATAAATATAAAAAATCATTTATTTAAAAACATTTTGCATAGACAATAATCTTATTTTACTTCTTACTAATATTTTAAATGCGAATGTTTAGATAGATGGATGGATGTTTGTTTGAAGGTATCCCCCGAACTGCCCAACAGATCTGGCTGAAATTCAGTACAAATATAGAACAAACGTCCAGCAGTGGACAAGTTTAGGCTGAGTATGATGATGATGATAGAACATAGTCTGGAAGAGCTCATTGGCTTCTTATTTCCGAACACGGACGGAGTCGCGGGCGACAGCTAGTTCATGATAAAATACTGATAAAATAAGAATTTTGCTGTAGGCAATTTTTTTTTGCAATTGTCTTAATAAATCTCCAAGTTGTGACAAATGTGTTTTCGCTCTAAACTTTAGACGTATTTAAGAGTATACATCTTGTTGTTTATTAATTTTACTGTTTACGAAGCATACCAAGTATTCATTCCTACAAACATCAACATGAATGGAAACGTTCCATATGCATTTCTTGGCAGCCATGTTTAATGTCATATTACATTTCAGTCGCGAAGGAAAATAACCGAACGGGTATTACTTCTGTTTATTAAAACATTCGCTAGTAAATATTATTAATCTACTTTCGTGAAATCTATAAATGAATGTGTTACGTGGAAACTTTCGAATTATACGGTTTCAATGCTGTTGCCAACAGACTAATCTTTCTTTCCATTGCGTCATGCATTTCCCGCCAATTCTAATGTCAAATCCTAATCCGGATCAACTTTTATTATCAATAATACGCCGATTTCTATACTTAAATTATCTTTATGATAAAGTAACATAGTTAATTAGGGACTTAATCAGAGGTAGAAATAACAGTTATCAGGGAAAGTTCGCCATATTTTTTTTTATCAACAAGCAACACTCAACATTGCAAGAGAGGCACACCTCCCTAGCCTCTTCCATATTCATATGCTCGTCGATTTTCAGTACTCTTAAGTACTTTGTCAATAACCGCAGTTTTTAATACTAACTTGTTTGTTTGTCTGCAGGGTATTTGTGAGGGTCTGACGTACGAGGAGATGCAGGAGCGCTTCCCGCAGGAGTTTGCGTGGCGCGACCAGGATAAGCTGAGATACCGGTACCCTTGGGGCGAGTCGTACATCGACATAATGACTCGACTGCGACCCGTGCTCGCTGCTCTGGAAGACGACCACAATGTTGTAGTCGTCGGCCATCAGGCGGTACTGCGCTGCATGCTCGGATACTTCCTTGATGCTAAGCTTGGTACGTATTAATTAATGAACTCATTTTGTTTGTCACGGCAAACTTTGTATCATCATCAACCTGCCTTATCCATATGATTGGTCGCCACAGTATGTACTACTTCTCCATACATCTCCATCAGCCATATCTGAATCCTTCCCGTCACGTCAATCTTTGTATATGTTACCCTAATGACAACCTTCCTAGGCTTCAATAATGGTGCATTTTACCCTAAAGATGACCGCTTTTGTAGTCAAGTTTGGTACGCATACCATTATCGTGTCATTCATACGAAAGTAGGTCCGAATACATTGTGAATCATTTTGAAAGTTTCTATGAAATTAACAATATTTTTTTTAATTTTCAGATGAACTGCCGTACATGAATGTGCCTCTACACACTATCGTCAAACTAACCTCTTACGGCTACAAGTACAAAGTTGAGATGATAAAATTGCCCATAGATTGTGTGGACACGCATCGCAAACAGCCCAAGGTAACTAAAAGAACTGAATCCATAGGCCTAATTTTAGTCAATTTCCCCTTCCCATTTCCTTATGAGGAAGGAGGAAAGATCGCATAGTAAGCGGAAAATAATCTCTTTCTGTGCATGTCCTCCGTCGACTTAAAGTAGACAAAGCATCTGCAATTGCGTATGTTTATGGTTAGCGGCAGCTTCGCTATTTCGTCGCATTCAGGTGGCCACCGTTTGCTACTTTAAAAAATAAAAAATAAATATTTACACATCTACTAAATCATATGACTCATCAATCTGTGGGAGGCCTTCACTGCTGTCGATATTTGCGGGAAGAATAACACTCGGAGTCCAGATTTGTAATGATTTATTTTCTAATTTCTTAACTATTTATACAAATTATGTGCTACGTGCTTACTGGCTAAAATATGTACACCAATTAAAAATTAAGTTTTTCGACCAATCCGGAAGAGACACTAATTACTAGCTAATTACAATGAGAGTGAGTGAGAGGTGATTTTCTCTGTCACACATTCTTGCGCGTTCCGCAGAGATGGCGATATGCTGCTTATGACCTCCAATAAATCTTTGATAATATGCAAGTCATGACAGTTTTAAACGTTTTCTCTTAATCAATCATAATCTATTTCATGTTGTAGTAGGTTCGATGTTTTAGTTCCGATTTTTCTTAATGCATTTTTTTTAATTCAATATTCTTTATTTCTGATAAATATGAATTTTCAAATTCTCGCAATATATAGTTTCAAGCCATAAACGAATTTTATTAAAAAAGGAACTGTCAATATAAAATTAGAATCTAAGTGAACCTTAGTCGTTTCTGAGACCAAAATCTCATATTAATCGTCATGATCTTTGACAAAACAGAGATAGCAATATATTTTAAATGGGAATTTGGTCTCGGAAACCCACGATTTTTTACTATCAATGTGCTAATATTATTTTCCTTATACGACGACATAATAATCACTTATGTAAACAAACTCATTAAAGTAAATTATTTCTTTACAGAACTGCTCAATAAACCGGAGCACAGCTGAGGCCCTGGTGACTGTGCCCTCTCACTACGACACGCTGCCTTCCAACTTGTGGCAGAATCCCACTGAGGCGCAGCTTTAGGTGCCGAGATCGCGCCTCAGTGCACGGGGCGCTTGAGTACCACGTCAACATTACGACACGGGGAACGGAAATCCTCTAGTGTGCAGGCCCTATCAGCCCAAGAAGGCCCAAGGCTCACCGGGCTTTATCTGAGCCTTGGAGGCCCTTTTTAAGCCTAAGGGGCCCTATTTAGGCCTAAAAGGCCCTACTAAGGCCTTGAAATCGTTACTTGGGCCTTATAAGGCCAGGTCGAAAGCCACGGATACCATGCAGAAAGGAATCAGCCATCTAGCGATCTAAAGACTTGAATAGACTTCACGCCCACAGTGACAAGCGAGTTAGTTTTTTTTTTAAGTGAAATAATTTACGTACAAAACTCATGGATGTGTTCGTTTACGAGTGTTAATTTCCAATTAATGATAAGACTGAAATGGTTTTTATATGTCGTTTCAATTTAACAGTTCGTTTATTATTAATCTTGATAATGTGTTCTTATTTTTTAATCTATGGTTATATTATGCTTTAGACAATGTATCGCATATTCGCATATCTTTTAGTATAAATCATTTTAAATAAGAGCTTCATCATTTATATGTTAATTTTCTTTATTATTATCACTTTAAGGTTAACTGTGTGTCTGTTTTATAGGTTATAATTGCGTAATTTCAACAAAACAATTTATTCTAATTATTTTTTTATTTTTTATCTGTAGTAAATACTTTTTTAAACATTAAGTTAATTACAATTTTAAAGATTAAGAAAAACGATACTGGTTGGAAATTTTTTGCCGGGATTTTTTGAGCAATTTCTTTAAAAAATATAATTGTTACTTAGGCTCTCGTTCTGTTTAATAGCTTATTTTTAAGTTTAAGACGGTGGTTATACTTAGACTATGCTTAGTATTAAGTATATACCTAAATATTATACTTGTGAAAGGCACTGCGGGGTGTTTAATTATTAAAAGTAAAGATTCAATTGAATCTATTTAGAGGTTATGTAGAGATATTGTTTAGATGACATACGTAGTTTCTTAAAACGAATCTTGTATGCGTAATTAATTTTTTAATAAATGAACATGCAGAATACAGTTGTTTTATTTATTTACTAACTATCGACCGCGACTTCGTTCGCGCGCGATTAAAAAGATAGTAGCCGATTCTCAGACTTACTGAATATGTAAAAAAAGGGCTGTTTTTACGGTTTTGCCGGCAATTATTCTATTTTTTCTTCCCTTTTAAACCTTCCCTAGATCTCCAAGAATATTTCAAGACCAAGATAAGATAAATCCGTTCAGCCGCTCTCGAACTTTAGTGAGACTAACGAACAACAATTGATTTTATATACATACGAACATAGTATGAACTATTGAAAAATCTTAACTAGTAAATGGTTAAAATAATATACATCTAAGTAAATGATAGATATTAGGCACTACTTTTAGACATTATTAGTTAGAATCCTTTGGCGCGAATTACAAAGTCAAGTGTCAGAATGATTAGTGAGGGGACATAAACGTCGACATTTTAGTGATGCTAGTGTTGCGCCATTACACCGGTAAAGTGTCTGATTTTCTTCCTATCATTACCTAGATTTTATAAAGTATTAACCTAAAAAGATAACACTAAGGAAATCTATGAGTAATTTTAGACATTTTAAAATAGATTTTACTAGAACAATATTTGGATCCATGACGGAATAACACTGAGCTTTATGATGGATGAGTCACAGATTTCATATTTAAATGATAACATAAATCTATATTTAGCGGATATAAATAACTTCTCTTGATTTATTATCTTGAATAAACTGCATTGACTCATTGAATTATATTTAAAACTAAACTTTATTTAATGTCTAAAAATCTGACTGTCTCTATTCTCCGTCTCTGTCTCTGTCTAAAAATGACTGACATACAAAAACTTTTCAAGATTCACAATTATGATTTTTTTGTAATAACAAAATTAGGTTTTAGCAAAAAACAAGTTTAAAATGACTGTACATTTGAATAAATGTATATTTTGTAACGTTACATCAAAAGCGAGTTTTTCCAATGTAAATTAATGTAAAAACTTCAACTGTTGGGATTTCACGTGACTTGTATCACTGCATAATCTACAGTAATATTATAAAGATGGATAGTATTTTTGTATGTAACGAATAAATTCAAAAACTACTGGACTGATTCAGAAAACTCTTTTACTATTAAAAAGCCACATTATTACAGAGTAATGTTACTAAACAATATAGCCTATGAGCTAAATTTATTATTAGATTTATTTATATTTCTAAGTTGACGAAGTTGCGGGCAAAAGCTATGTGATAAAAACAAAAAAATATTTCCGCATTTTGTAATTGAACAATCAAGTAGTTGTATAATATTTGCCTTTATCCAAACTTGTTTTTATAGAATATAACGATTTAGGTTTTTCCTTATATTATGTAAAACTTCAAAAAATTAAGATGTACAGAACGATGTATTTAGAAAACAAATTGAAAATGATCCGTGGCTCTACCGGACTTTGTTTACATTAATTCAGCTCCACTTCCTTCTCTTGGGGATTTGTGCCAACAATGACAAAAAAAAACTTAACAAGCACATGAATTTCGTAGAGAGACAAGAACAAGAAAAATAAAAGATGGGAAAATAAGAAAGGTACGACATTGACCAAGAAACGTGAATACACACTGTCTCTGAAGTCTTGGTATCTGCATACATCGTCATTCACCAGTCGCATACAATTTCGTTGACCATTTTATACCTCTACAAGCTGTCGACCGCGACTCCGTCCGTGTGGAGTTATAAACAAACTTAATTAGTAGCCTATCTGATCTTCCACACTATGTTCTACATCTATGCCAAATTTCAGCGAGATCTGTTGAGCCGTTTATCGAAGATATCTTCAAACAAACATCCATCCATCTAAACTTTCGCATTTATAATATTAATACGAAGTAAGATTTTCAAAGCTCTACTTTGATACTATACCGTCAAATAAATGAGAGTTATAAACATTCAGAGATGAAAGATAATATTTATAAAACTTTCGTAACGTTTAGTATTTATAATGATTACATCTGCACACGTGCAGTAAAGATATTGTAGATTAAAGATTAGATAACACATGTATTACAGCACGACATCGGAGTTGTATCGAGCGATCGACAGACAAGCCTAGGAAGCAGTGAGAGGCTTGATGGCGGCCGTGGCTTACTTCATTGACGCCGCAACGCCTGCCACTACGACCCAACCGACCCCTAAACTAAAAATATAAACGTTTATTGTCATACAAATCGCTGAGAAGCGCGCACGCGTCTCTCAGATTTGTTTTCCCGCGCTCGCGTTATCCCGTTCTATTTTTAAATTTTCAGTGCCTTTAATCTAACAAGTTCGAGGTTATGTTGTGACGTTAACAGGACACGTGTGGATCCTTATCATTTAAAGTAAGTGAAATTTAAATAAAGTTTAGCGATGAAAATGTTAACCTTTTTGATGCCACTGTTTGATAACCGTGTTAAAATAATTATTTTTGAACTTTGGAGTTGGTAAGGATTTTTTTGTTGTTTTGTTAACTTAAAAGAATTTCTCAATAAAGACGGGTTTCGTCATAATCCTCAAGCCTTATCTTATTGTAGTCGCATAGTAATTTTTATAAATTTTTTGAATTAAAAATAAAAGGTCTTTTTTAACACGACATCTACCTACAAAAAACAAAATAAATACTTGATTCAATGTTATTTCTCACTCGTTAGGCATTGCATGCTAATACAATTATGCACACATTACGTAGTCATAATATGAAACATCTTATTATGCTTGGTCAATAAAGCGAATGTATGAAAACACGTAATTAATCTTATTATTTGAATGAAACATGGTGTTGCAATAATCCGCAAAAAATTAACAGCAAACAGACGATAGCTCAATTGGAAGACGAAAATAAAATTGCAATAATGTTTCGGTAGTTTAAACCAATACTTACTATTTGGTTTAAATTCACGGGTACTTCCTGTACAATGCGTGTAAATAACATAACACTTGCGTTAAATGCAAGGCGTCTACTTTCAAGACTCAGTTTTCTGTTTGATTATTGTTTAACAAGAGACAAAGATATCCTATAATAGTTTCATTAGAGTATTTCTTTTGTAGATTTTTTCTATTCTGTACAATAAACCGTAATGACGTCTTCCGACATGCAACTTAGTTCTCATGATATAATATTTAGTACGAGTAATCTCTCTAAAACTTTAAATGTGAACGTTTGGTTGGATGTTAAAAGATCACGCCGAAATTTGGCATAGTTGTAGAAAACACATAGACTAGTAATTATTTTTATTTTCATTCCGCGCGGACGGATTCGCAGGTGACAGCTAGTAAATAGTATTGTGTGTCTATAAATGTTTATAACAGTGTTCATTGCCAACCTTGAAAAATGTTAGGTTAAATAGGGCAAATGTAATTAATGTTTTTTCAGACCACTCTGAGTGAAGTTAATGCATAAGAAAACAATGGTTAATAAAAAGCAAGTGAATAAATAAATCTTTGACATATGTACAAGTTTATACATAATATACATAAGTGATATTTATTATTTATCTCTTCTAAATAAATAAGAAAACAATTGTTGAACTTCTTTCATTCCTAAACTACTTTATAGATTCTGGTGAAAATTTTTTGAATATTCTGAGGAAACCAGAATGTGTACAAAACATTTTGACTTTGGCATTACAACACAATCCTGTTTCATTTAATATGTTCTTTAACATTTTTATAACTTGAACACATGTGTAGACAAAATCAGACTATGTAAATATTTTTAAACATCACTCAGTTACTCACACTTAATTTGGGAAGCGTATATTTACGTGTATTTATCGCTTTTAACATCTGGATAAATCGTTCCTACATTTAATACATTTACTGAACTTCTCTTGAAGCAAATCAATTAGTAATTCCACGGGAACTCGTTTGGTGGTTGCTCGCGATTTCTTCAGCGTAGATTTTATAAAAAGTAGCCTGTTACTCCTGCATACATCAACTCTCTTCCAGTCAAAGTACTGTCAAAATAGGTCTAGCCATTTCGGAGATTACATGGAACAAAAGCGGTCTTGCCTCAATTTTTTTTTATTCTTTTCTTCCTTATAAGCAACACAAATACATCAATTTTATATAGAGAGATATAAAGATATAAACACAGTAGGACCGCAGCAATTAGATTAACACATCCAGGTAGGGACGAATCATCGAATTTGTCGAATTATAGATTTCTGCCTTAAAACGCCTCTATAGTCCGGTTTTTTACAAAAGAGTACCTCTTAATACGACAAATTACAGATTCAATGAGAAGACTATATCTATGTATATAAAAAAACCTATCTGAAAATGTCATTTGAAACATCAAAGCCTATGTTTAATGTATTTTACGTTACTACTATGTAAATGTCTTTGTCTAAGTAACTTCATTGGTTCATTAAAGTTCAACCAAACCGTTAATAAGCTTATAAGACACCATAAGCTGGGTAATATAATAAAAAAAAATAGTGAATGGTCACACTACACGTGCTCTCAATTCGTGATTAAAAGTCAGAGCTCATGAAGTTTACCTTGGGCTTTGAACAAGATCCCAATAATTTCTACTGTACCTATACGACGCGAAGCTACCCGCGAATCTTTCTATTATAAATCTTAATTCAAAGTCTTACAGTCTATTTTGGCGTAACCAATTCAAAGAAACATCAGTTAAAAAGTATTGTAGTCAGAGGTGATAGTCGAAACTATAACTTATGGCATTGATCAAAATAGGTCATCATGTTGCAGCTCAGAATTAAACAAGTTTTTTTTTAAATAAATGTTGCTTGCTAAATGTTTAACTGCCACATACATTTTATGACATTTAGATTCAATTTAAGAATCGTTTTTCATAGCTTAAAGAATCGTTATTTGGCTCTGGGTGTGGCAGTGTTTGCTACAAGGGTTAAAAATCGAGCATTCATTTCCTCGATAGTCACTAAAGTCAGTTATAGTGATTGGTTTTGTGAACTGCTGACAACTTGTATAGTCTAAGAAAGATCTCATAAAACATTAT